ATAATAAATATGAATAGACTTCTTAAACATAACAGTGTATCGAGACAGGGATACAAAAAAATACCCAATTAATTTAGGCATAACTGCTGCAGGATTCAAGGCCTCAGTTAAACTTTCTAAACGTGGTAGATACATGGAGGTCAATTCCAAATTTGACACATGACCAAAATGACACCCGATGCAATTCCCTATTTTGTCTTGTACCATATGTTCCCAGAGTAGGAAACCTAGTTCCTTACATGGGACAATCTGATTAAAATCAGATCTTCTACTCCAATACCATACCTCTAATACTAGGGCTGGGATGGTTAACTCGGGTACTCGGGTCAGGTGGGTACTGAGAAGGACCCGGGTACCCACAGGACTACCTGGACCCATGGTTAGTCATGTGCTATATTGTTTAATGACAAAAATTATCAAAAACTATATGGTCCACTACAAGTTACTAATGTTCACATTTCTTTCTGACTATGCACCCATTCCTTCTGCGTTTGAATAAAGATAACACTTCAGTCCACTTCAGTGTAAGCCTGACCAGATCGTTCTAACACCGCTTTTAACAGTATTCCAGTTATATCACGGCGTGTCAGCTTAATGTGGGAGGAAAGCCCGAAGTGATGCAGGTCTCAGACGTTTACCACTTCGGTGAAACCCACGAGCATGGGTATGGTTCTGACAAACCTAGAAACATAATGTGGGCGAACCAGGATTTGAACCCACAATCATAGGTTTCTGGTGTGCCCAAGGGACGCAACTCTGCACAGCGAATCGCAGCGCCTTAGACAAGTGGGCCACCCATGCCTCCTATATAGATATATGGTACAGTCAATGTGTAAGATAAGTCACTGTGTAAATTGACTGAAATTTGGGCTTAGGCAATTTCCAAAACTCAGTCATTTTGCAATTACTTTCCATTTATTAGATCATGATGATAACGAATACGAAACACTTTTATGCTATTTCAACAAACAGTAACTGAAAATTAAGAATTTAACGGAAAAAAGTTTAAAATTTGGGGGCTTCTAGTCCCAGCATAATTGGTGTATTGTAATGTAAGATACCCCTTTAAACTTCATGATAACTTTAAGTCAATCTGTCGGGAAAATAATTGTGAAATTGTGCTAATTGGGATTGTTCATTGGCCGATATATTAGCAAATATCGCTGTGGGCGCTTATTACGTCAAATTCGGTATTTAACTTTTAGAATTTCAATCAAGAGAACATATCAACAATTATTCTTCCAGTGCTTTGAATCATTTTTTAGATTTAAAAAGAATTCATCAAATATATCTGTGAGCCTATTTGTGCTAGATTATTATGTTATACATTAGGTGTGTCACAATACAGGTATGTCACAATACGATACATATCTAGATTTTGAGGCCAAGATATGATACGCATCTCGATACAGCAATACCGACCTTTTAAGCGTAAATTTAGGAGCAAACTTTTTAATTACATATCAAATTCACAATTCTGTGTTCTACTGACTATCAGTAGATTATTTTGTAAAATAATATTATTAATAATTCTTAGAAAAGGTTCAGACACTAACAAGTTTTCGTATGTGTCAAATTCAGAAAATATGATGACATTTCAATTTGAAAAAGAAAAATCAATCGATACGCAAACAAATGGATACCGATTTCAATAAAATTTTGTATAGATACAAATTTACATTATCTTGTATCGTATCATGACAAATATCTACGGATGCATTGGTACAATCGTTGAATCGTGACATCCCTATTAAACATTTATATACCGCACCTATCCAGGTACTAGTATCTGCCCAAATGTGGTTCATTTGTTCCCCGATCAGCGGATCCTAATGCATTCCAGTGATCATTTCCATTCCACGTCACTCCTGTAAACCAGGACCAACATCAGCAACACAAACTACCCTTCATCCTGGCACAACAAAGACACCACTGAACATGGTTAAGCCTTCACACAGGCTTGCTTAGGCCAGACTTTTTTCATTTTGTGTTTCACAGATTTTATGTTTCACAGATTTTATTTATATAAAAGTCATTCTGCTGTGTTAAAACTGCAACTGGGTTCTTGAATCACCGATAGTGATATAGACATGGAGTTTATGTATACATTTTTAGGGGTATAAGAGGGTATTGTATTTCTAGCAGGAGGCATAACAAAAATAAATATTTTATATTTAGTTTATTTTTTGGACCGGATGCTTTTCAGTAGGGGCGGGGGGCCCGTGAAACGTAAAATAAAAAATGTGTGGCCCTATATAAGTACAGGAATTAGTTAGCATGGAAATGGTAAAATCTGACGCTACATGAAGCAAAGTATGGTGTGAAGCAGCAGTAAACATAACAAAACATATTGTATAATCATGAAAATAGTGAATTTGGCATAAGAAAATGATTGTTAGGTCTGCATCATTGTGAATCATGAATTGGCTGCAAAATGAACAGGCTACAGTCATGATCTCCTGATGATGTTGCTGATGATGTTGATGATGTTGCTGATGATGTTGCTGATGATGTCAGCAACTGCATCATCTGTGGGCTATTACCAGACATCAACATCATATCACATACTGTTACTGTCCCTGTACAAATGCTCTGATTGTATACAAATCCTTCCTTACAACCACAGGAATATATGGAAACCTATACAACTGACAATCTACGCGACTGACTGAGGCCTTTCCCACAAAGCACCCTTAGTGCTTCGACTACGTCAGTCAAGGTTGAAGTGTGGGAGATACAACAGTACTAAGGTTGCTGTTTAAAAGGCATCAGTACCAAGTATTTCTTGAGGTTCCCATGGAATTCATCATATCCAGACTTGAAAGTAAAAAACCTGATTGGTAAATATATGAAATGTCAGTACGAGACAAGCTAGGTACTGATACTGGTGATGGTTTTATGAATAGGTGATGCCTGCCTTTAATCAGTAAATAAAGACGTATATTCAAGTATGCTAACTGAAAAGACTACATTGAGAAAATACGCACAATATTGTTTATATGGTATTGTGTTTTGAATTTTAGGTTTTGTTATTATGTTGCATGTGCAAGGAAATCTAAATTGTAGGCAGAGAGTGAGTGAGTTGGGTTTAACGCCACTTTTAACAGTATTTCAGTTATATCACGGCGTGTCAGCTTAATGAGGGAGGAAAGCCCGGGTATGGTGCAGACAAACCTAGAAACACAATTGGGGCGAACCGGGATTCGAACTCACAATCATAGGTTTCTGGTGTGCCCAAGGGACGCAACTCTGCACAGTGAATCGTGGCGCCTTAGACAAGAGGTACCAATAAATACTGCAATACTATTGCAAGAGTTCTACCTATTTTCTTGGTAATATATTAAAGTAGACACTTTGTTATTTTACCGTAATAGCAACGTTTCTGTATAGATTCTTCACCATTGTCAAGCAAGACTGAATAATAAACATGGTTCATCGTGTTTTCTCTGTCTATCATGTTGTTACAATATCATCCTTCAGTTGTTATTATTTAACCTCCTCATGTTAATCCCTCTCATGTAAGCAATTGTTACTGTCAATCCTCTACCTCCTATACATATTCTGTACCGTGTTCATTATTCAGCCTTGCTTGACAACGGTGTAAAGATCTATACAGAAATGTCGTTATTACAGTAAAATAGAAAAGTTGTTGTCCATAAATTCCGAACTGTGTCTACTTTGTCATCCATCAACACAAAGAAATGACTATCAAACGATTCAAATACCATCATAGCGTCTTAACTATCACAATACTATTTCAACAACAAAATCTCAATAGTCCCCCCTATTTTGAATACCAGTCTTTGGAACCAATTGTACGTGGGACTTCAAAACGTCTTGCTTTTTGGTTCATGTTTAGAACGAGCTTGTAATTTCATAGATTTTCTTTGGGCCCTGTTACGGATAATCATTACATCGAGTAAAGTAACACCACTGGTTGCAGACTCTCAACAGCCTGTTGGTCAGGGATGAGGCTAAAACCATCCTCTAACATTCCCAAATATGTAAACCACACCTGCATGAAAAATATATTTGATCCTTCTGACAAGCATTCAAATTCATCCAAATAGCACACACTTTTAGGCCATAGAAAGTATAGCAAATGTCAATGCCAAATTTTCAAAATGTCAGCATTCACATGATTTCAAATTTTTTAAACTTAAATTTGTATGATCATGATGATGTTAGCAACTGCAGCTGACATAAATATTGAGGTTGGATGAAAATACCAGTTAAACAACAGGCTATGTATCGTCAATACTTCATGGGTTTTGTATACTCTATGAACCTCCAACACCTGTGAACACCGGTGTCTGACTAAAAATAGGTAGCTCTTGGTTAAAATTGATTGTAAGAGGCGTCTAATGGGGTAGAATAGGTCTTCAGCAACCCATGCTTGCCGTGAAAGGTGAGTATGCTTGTCGTAAAAGGCGACTAACGGGATCGGGTGGTCAGGCTCGCTGACTTGGTTGATGCATGTCATCGATCCCAATTGCGTTGATCGATGATCATGATATCAATCACTAGATTGTCTGGTCCAGACTCCATTATTTACAGACCGCCGTCTTATAGCTAGAATATTGCTGAGTGCGGCGTTAAACAACAAACCAACTTCTAATGGGACCTGGTGGTCAGGCTCGCGAACTTGATTGATGCTTGTCATCGTATCCCAAGTTTATAGATCGATTCATCATGTCAATCACTGGATTATTTACAGACCACCATTTAAAGAATATTGCTGAGTGCGGCGTTAAACAGCAAACAAAAAACACTACCACACTGCTTAGCATGTATGTACGTATGAATGTATTCACATGTGATGTATAAACATAGAGTATAGAGTGAGTGAGTGAGTGAGTTGGGTTTAACGCCGCTTTTAACATTATTCCAGTTAGATCATGGCGTGTCAGCTTAATGTGGGAGGAAAGCCCGAAGTGATGCAGGTCTCAGACGTTTACCACTTCGGTGAAACCCACGAGCACGGGTATGGTGCTGACAAACCTAGAAACATAATTTGGGTGAACCAGGATTCGAACCCACAAACACAGGTTTCTGGCATGCCCAAGGGACGCAACTCTGCACAGCGAATCGCGGCGCCTTAGACTGGGCCACCCGTGCCCCCACATAGAGTATAGAAGCCCATGAAGTAGTGATGATGCTTGTCGTTACCACTGATTAAATTCCATCCTGACATCACAGTTCAGAGATCAAACAAAGCTGTTCCCATGCTAAATATACACAATGTAACAAGTAGGTAGTCATACCCCAAATATTTGTAAATTCAAATCCAATTTCATTCGGATTATCACAAACATCAATCTCATTCAAATCAGATATTAGTTCTCACTTCTGCTAAACAAAGATCTGAAGACATCCCATTACAGGTCAGGCCAGAACGACCTTTCGCGAACTTTGACCAGTCAATGAAGTGCCTAACAAGAAGTCAACCTAGGCCAATCAGAAAGCAGCTTTCCAAAGTTAAACAGAACTACATTGTAGTTTCAAACTGGCAACCTTGATTCCAGATTATGCTTTGAAAAAAAGTTTGACAAAGTTCTTCATACAAAATTTTAAAACTGAACTAAAGAAAATTCAGGAATGTCTAACAGATGGCAGTATTTTTCATGGGATATGAAAAGTTTCTTCCATTTCAATGTTTATCCCACTGAGGCGAGGGATGGACAGAAAGACGGAATCATTCGTACAGCCTGTATTTGTCATTTGGAATACCCCTTGTTAACCTTTTTGAGGATGCATGACCAGAAAACATATTCCAACTGTCACTTTCCTGATCTGTTAAGCGACTTCTGACATGACCCATAATGGAATGTCCTCAGATCTTCGATTAGCAGTAGCGAGAACTAAGATATGAGTTTAATGAGATTGTCACAAAACATTTATGGCCCAGCCATTCTGCAGCCTCGGATGATGATGCAAGATGGAAATCATATAAATATACACATCCCATGCATGAAGCAATGCATTATAATAACCCTGTATGAACACCACCACATTATTATGCTTGTAATGGTGCCTTCTCGTCACTGGAAGCTTCTTGTAATTCTTTTAACTTGGCTTCTTCTGCATGCTTTAGTTTCATTTCCCGTCGTTTAACCTCCGTGTAGCCTGTCGAACCGCCGAGGACGACCGCATTGCTCAGCCACCAAAGTGCGGGCTTAATGTCTTGGTAATACACACATGCGATCACTGTCTGAGCACACGCCTTGGCAGTGCCGGAGATGTTGTGGGTCAGCGGTGACGTCAACTGAATCTGCATGCCGGTCACGTAGCCGATGGCGAAGCCGAAAATACCACTGACGATCATCATGTTCCAGAAGTGGAAGTCCCCAATCTTCGGGAAAGACATGACCTCCTTGAATTCCCCTGTCACCAGCATGAGTGGGAGGAACAGCACGCTTGCGTTGATGTTGTTGTAGAGGGTGATGCGCCAGATGTTGTTGTCCACCAGGGGGAGTACTTTCTTCACGTAGATGGAGTTGAGAGCTACGCTGGCACTCGCCATAATGCCGAAGAAGATACCCGTTAAAGATAGCGACCCTGCAGGATAAAAGGAATGTCTTTATTGAATTGATTCTGATCATCATGTAAATTAAATCCTGGCTTATCTGGTTTTGTGGACCATGGCCCTCTTCCACGTAACGATCGTAAAGCTACGACTGTTGTAAGCCAATGTTTATCGTAAGACTGTGGTAAAGTATGGGAGTTCTGATTATCTTTGAACAATGTCTATCATAAAACCTCTGAAAAGGTATGGGAGTTCCGATCATCTCAGAGCTCTGTTCATCTTAAGACTGTGGTAAAGTATGGGAGTTCCAATCATCTGTGAACTATGTCAATCGTAAGACTGTGGTACATTATTGGAGATCCAATCATCCTAAGCTTATGTAAGAATATGGGAGACACGATAACTGAGGTGGAATGAGGCCTGGTCCTAATGAGCAATATAGAGGTAAAATCTAATAATATGTTAAGTATTGATGACACAAGACCTACATGACGGCAGCATGACACAAGACCTACATGACAGCAGTATGACACAAGACCCACATGACGGCAGTATGACACAAGACCTACATGACGGCAGTATGACACAAGACCCACATGACGGCAGTATGACACAAGACCTCCATGACGGCAGTATGACACAAACCCTACATGACGGCAGTATGACACAAGACCTACATGACGGCAGTATGACACAAAACCTACATGACAGCAGTATGACACAAGACCTACATGACAGCAGCATGACACAAGACCTACATGACGGCAGCATGACACAAGGCCTACATGACGGCAGTATGACACAAGACCCACATGACAGCAGTATGACACAAGACCTACATGACGGCAGCATGACACAAGGCCTACATGATGGCAGTATGACACAAGACCTACATGACAGCAGTATGACACAAGACCTACATGATGGCAGTACGTGATGACACAAGACCTACATGACGGCAGCATGACACAAGACCCACATGACAGCAGTATGACACAAGACCTACATGACGGCAGCATGACACAAGACCTACATGACGGCAGTATGACACAAGACCCACATGACAGCAGTATGACACAAGACCTACATGACGGCAGCATGACACAAGACCTACATGATGGCAGTACACGTTGCGTGACATGGCTTACCTGACACCTTCTCCTGATCCACCCCAAGGAAGAAACCGGAAATGATGACGCCACAGCATATCAGCGCCTTCACTGACGTTGTCTGCTTCAGCAGAAAGTAGGAAAATATCTGAAAGGATGAGAATTCGCTGTTAGAAGCTGCAAATATTTAAATTATAATAATAACAACAATAACATATGGTGCTTTTTTTCCATGCTGAATATCATGCTCAAAGCGGATCATCATCCCCGGTCAATGGATCAGTGTCAAGCAACAATCATTCAGGCCAAGAAGGTTATCAGCCACATTGCCATCTCATCCTACCGGGTACCCATTCACAGCTGGGTGAACAGAGGCACATTTGGAACAAAGTCACTTGCCCAAGGCAACGCCACATGTGCTACATCTGCTTCAGTGTAGGACAGGACCGAAGCTGTAGAAACTCTCAGGAGCCAAGCTCCCGAACACGGTCACACATCCAAGGACAGGCCATGACCAACTTTGCCTAAATTAACTTGATTTGTGACCTGTGCACAGGACTATGTGCCACCACGAGATGAGATACAGGGAATGGCTGGCAATATGAAATACTGGGCACCTGAGAATAGCTTGCAATACGGAACTAAATAGGGTTGTAATAGTCTACAGTCAATGTGTATGTCCCATGCCATAATAATGTTTGCTGGTTCCACGACTCCCTGCACTCCATCTCTGCACTGTCCACATCCCCATGTGGGTTGTGGGTAGATATTCTCCCCAGCATCCAAAACGATATGGCATGGTCACAATAGGATATATATCACGAAACATAGGTAACGATACAATATGTATAGTTATACGCATATTTACAACAAATTGCACAGAAACTTTTTGACTATAAATATTTCAGAGCAGGTTCAGAAGGAAAAGTTAGCTGTGGAGACATGTTTGTAGCGGTTGTTTTAAGTCGTGAACTTTAAGCACTTGTAACAACACATTTTACGATATTTGAATGCTGGGGGGTCATTAAGCGGGTAGTAAATAATTTATTTTAACAAAGTGTATCGTCTTATATCGATACAGGTAGAAACGTATTGTGTATTGTATCATCGCATGAAACCTAATGATGTATGGGGGCACCAATGTATTGTTTCACCTCTACACAAAAGGCTCAGAGCTCCAGATAAGCTACTATCTGCGTAAAATACGCATCGGAAATGCAGAAATACGCAGTAAAATAAAATCCAAGTGTATCAAATACGCAACGCACATTACAGATACGCTACAAAAATAAAACTTGCGGGTATCATCAAAATATTGTGAAGTAACCCTGCATATTCGATTAGCAAATCAGCAACTTATTTTGAAATTATAAACGGGCATTCCGTCAACCTTGCCAAACTCTACGATGACAGTTACATCATGATCATTTGCCATCACACTTTCTTCTGGAAGTATCGTGGTATTTTTTAGTCCTATAAAGCTCTCGAACCCACACGACACCAGTTTGCAGGGATTTGATGAATAGTGTTTTTAAATATTTAACTTAAATACCCACATGTGTAAAAACTAGTGGGTAACAGAAATTTGAATACCCAGATAGAATTACTGATACCCAATGATTTTAAAATGCATGGGTAAAATACCCACAACACCAAAAGCTTATCTGGAGCTCTGCTTGGTTAACTGCAGTTATCGACCTGGGACTGTGTGATCGTTGCTCACAAAGTCACTGGAATGTCAGGTCCAGACTTATTCACATTATAGCTGAAATACTGCATACAAACAAAGTGCCCAAAATAAGCCTTTACTGACCACATTAAACACGGTAGTGAGAGAGCGGCCCACGTAGTAGAAGGCCACACCAACAAACTTCAGACAGAGATTGTTGAAGGAGATCATACAGACGAAGATGATCGACAGTGGCAGCGTCTGAAACAGAATGTACATCATGAAGTTCCACAGTCCTTATCAACACCACAATCCTCATCAACACCACAATCTAATATAACACCACAATTTATTATCAACACCACAATCTAATATAACATCCCAATCTCATATCAACACCACAATTTATTATCAACACCACAATCCTCATCAAAACCACAATTTAATACCAACACAATCCTTATCAAGTGTCTAAAATAACTGCCTGCCTGCCTGCCTGCCCGTGGCTGGTAACTTTTCTGTCGGGCTGCATGAAATTTTCTTCCACCTGCCTGACTGATATTTTTAAGAATACTTATGTATTCAGTTTTATTATAACTTGTTGTAGATTCTCACGTTTGCATTATTTCAATTTAATCAAGACATGAGCTTTTGTGATTTTTCATTATTTATAATGTGTGAATGCAGGCAGATAACTTTGAAGATGGGCAGGCAACCTTATGGGTCACCTGCTCGACTGTCTTGTTGGGTTTTAAGGTTGTTTCTAACACTGCCATGATCTAATCAACGCTCCACTAGAAATACCTTGAACTGTAAATGTGGAAATAACTACGACCGCTGGCTCCCAGCCAAAAATAATGGGGCTGAATATAAATGTGATGCCCCCTCATCCCCAGTGAAATGATACATTTCCTTTCCTTAATCAAATCAAACAGCAAATAGCAAATAGCAAACAGTAGTTTGTCAAGCTTTCTTAGGCTTGACATCATCAGACTGTGGGTGTGTTTTACAACAATGAGTCATTAATTTATGTGACACTAGCAGCGGACTGGCCTATGTATCAACTTTGAAAAATTTAGGAAACCAGTTTTCAACCTGTTTTGGTTTGAGGGAACTTGGCTTTCATGTCAACATGCTACTGGTGCAAGTTAAATCAAGTTCCTAAAATCGAGTCCTTGATCTACACGATGCAAATACCTGACATCATAATACAAGGCCCCTTGAAGCTTGTACAGCCATCTCAGGAAGTTTAATTTTCATATATGTATATTTGTGTCAATTGACATCATTACTAATCTAATTCCAACGTGATTACATCATACAAGCAACAAAAGGGTCTACTCACTGCTCTGCATAGTTTAAGGTCGATCACAAAAGGTGGGAAGTTGACTTTTCCTGGAAATATTTGTCCAAAAACGCTGAGCAGAGCACACAGCAGAACAGTAACGACGCACTGGAACCAGGTCACAAACAGGGGAGCATCCAGCTGAAACATCACAACAAAGCAATGACATCCTTTGAAACTCATGCTAGTCCATTAGCTACTAAATTGTGCTGAGGACAGTAAAGATCAGATAATAGTCCTCACTGATAGTTGCATTTGAGGGCAATAACTCTGAACCAGTTCTCAATGCTTCAATTTTGTTACGAACTTAAACTGAATCAATCTCATTAAAATCAGATCTAAGCTCTCGCTGCCGGTAAACAAAGATCTGAGGACATCCCATTACGGGTCACTTCAGACCGACCTTGCACGAACTTTGACCGACCAGTGGAATGACAAATCAGAAGGCAGCTTTCTCGTGCTTTAAGGCACTAATTTCAAATTGGCGACAATGCTGCGAAAAATATTTTGACAAATTCTCGATTAAAAGTTTGAAACCTGAACAAAAAAACATTCTGGAATCGCTAATAGATAGTCTAGATTGTATGGATTCAGTCGTTAAACCCGTTACTATCATTCGGAATATCCCGTGTTAAAGTTTTCGAGGATGCATGATTAGAAATCACATTCCGACTGTCACTTTCATGATCTGGTAAGCGACGCTCTGATTGGTCGGATGAAAGGTTGTTCTGACGTGATCCCTACTGGGATGTCCTCAGATCTTTGTTTAGCGATTGCGAGAACTAAGATTTGATTTTAATGAGATTAAAACTGAATAAGCTGAAGGAAGATGTAAGGACCAACGACAAATTCTAGGGACTCTGAAATAAAGGTTTATGCTTGTATGCTTGTCCTTAGGACTTGTCTTGTAAAAATTTATTTCTAAGGCTGAAAAAGTCCAGTGTGGGTCACATGTCCACATTCTCCAGCCATTGTGGACACGGAATCTCCGTCCTGCTCTTCATGGCCAAAGTTTTGTTTGTGTGTTTATTGATTAACGCCACACTAAGCAATATTCCAGCTATATGATGGCGGTCTGTAAATAATCCAGTCTGGACAACACAATCCTGTGATTGACATCATGAGCACTGATCCATACAATTTGGATGCGATGACATGCATCAACCAAGTCAGCGAGTCTGACCACCAAATCCTGTTAGTCGCCTCTTACGACAAGCATAGTTACCTTTTACGTTTATTTGTTTGTTGTTTAACGCCCAGTCAGCCATATTCCTGCTATATGAAGGCAGTCTGTAAATAATTGAGTCTGGACCAGACAATCCAGTGATTGATATCATGAGCATCAATCCACGCATTTGGGATCGATGACATGCATCAGCCAAGTCAGCAAGCCTGACCACCCGATCCCATTGGTCGCCTTTTACGACAAGCATAGTCGCCTTTTACGGCAAGCATGGGTTGCTGAAGACGTATTCTACCCCGGATCTTCACAGGTCAGGCCAAACTTTGATCCCAAGTCATGACTGTGTCATAATTCTATTATCATATTTGTGTCCGATGTCTATTGTCATTATTGTCATAGATCTATCAGTGTCTATTGTCATGATTGTGAGTATTATCTATTGTCATGACTGACATGACATAGATCTAGTATTGTGATTGTGTTACAGTTCTATAGTCATTGTGACAGTTCTATTGTCATGATTGTTTCATAGATCTATGTTATGATTGTGTCATAGATCTATTTCATGATTGAGTCATAGATCTATGATATGATTGTGTCATGATTGTGTCATAGATCTATTTCATAATTGTGTAATCGTTCTACTGTCATGATTGTGTCATAGATCTATGTAATGATTGTGTCATAGATCTATTTTATGGTTATGTCATGGTTCTATTGTCATGATTGTGTCAGATTCATGTTCTGATTGTGTCATGGTTCTATTGTCTTCATTGTGACATAGTTCTATTGCCATGATTGTGTCATGGATCTATTTTATGATTGTGAGAAAATTAGTTGTTTTTTTATGCTGCTTTCAGCAAAATTCATGGAACCAATGTGGTGGAGGGGGGCACAAGCAAAGTGCTTCACACACTACACCCAAGTGGGAAGTCAAACCTGGCTTTTGGCAAATGAAGTAAACCCACCGCTCATTTCAAGATAGGGTCACAATACATCTGATGGCATGAATGTGTCATCTATCATTTCATTGTCTATTGCCATATATTTATTGTGATAAGAACTGCCACCAATGAATGAACATAAAACAGACAACTTTTGACATGAAAAATACCTGATTGGGTCTTTTTGTTAGAAAATATATGTTATATGTATTATTCGCTATTCTTATGAACAGTGGTGAAAATCAATGACATTTGTCAATGATATCTACATTCAATGTGTCATACATCTGTGAGCCAAATCAATGACGTTTCTAATGGGTGTCATATACAATGTACACCTTATGGGTCATACATATGTGTGCTATGTACCTATGTCATGTATCTGTTAACTCTATCTATAAGCCATGGGCCCTGTCTCATGAAGTCCCCCCCCCCAACCACACACACACATAGACAGAGTTTGTGTGACCAGCTGAACGCTCCAGTACACCGCAGGTATCAACACTACAGCAACTGTTCACTGTTCAGTCTGCAAACCACCGACATGACAGAAGAGGCTCTTTTCATTACAGCAACCTTATAATTTCCCTGGCTACACATTTCTGGGTCAGCATGCCCCTGTATTGCTCAGTCCGAGTCAGAGCTCCAGATAGGCAGTGTATTTGCATAAAATACACACACAAACATCCCCATAACACAATTAATTTTTAGTTTCTTGTGAAGAAATATGCATGAAAAATTGCAAAAACCAATAGCATTAAACTCAGTTTAATTACCCTATGTATCAATTTCAAGTAGCGTGTCAGCATTTCCTTAGATCTTTATTTATTAATTGAATGCAGGCATCACCTATCCATCAACTCTACTGCAGTCAATAAAGCATAAAAAGGCTCTACGCCTCACTTACTGTCAATTAGATATATGTATATATCGCTGTTGTGAGAAAATACCACATGTTACAAACTTGGTACAAACTTGGGAAGCACACATATACAAATCAGAAGTCACCCAAAACAGCATTTTAAGCAGAATTATCCTTAAACAAATGTCTACCCTTTGGTGTAAACTACCTATTAAACAGACCAAGGGAGTACCAATATATTGCATACTCCAGAAGTGAGTGAGTGAGTACGGTTTTACGCTGCTTTTAGCAATATTCCAGCAATATCACGGCGGGGGACACCAGAAATGTATACTCAAGAAGACTGTCATTATCAATTGTGAATGATAACTTGTGAGTAAATACTACGGTATTTCCTTGAGTATAGTGCGCAATCCCCTCTAGTGAATTCAGTATTTTGGGAAAAAAGAATTCAAATATTATGCGCAGTAAAAAATTACATTGCACCCCTTCAGCGAACTCAAGTAAACGAACAGGTGATAAGAAACTTGGTCAGTACAAATTTGAAATTTGAGATACAAAATCACCAGACATGTTGTTCTACCATTTAAATTGTATTTTTTGTTCTGCTAGGCATTGTTTTACATCCAGGGATTAAGATTACCTTGTGTTTTTTCTCGTAAACAAAGCCGGAATACCCCACTCAGACACAGTATACTGACTCCGAGCCGACCAGTCCTTGCTTTAGCCCCTTAATGCCGAGCGCCAGACAGGGTAACAACAAGTGCCATATTTTAACGTCTTTTGGTATGACACGGTCGGGGATCAAACCCCGGACCTTCCGCTCTCCGGGTGGACGCTCTATCAAAAGACCACGGAGGCGGTCCAGTCTAAGTATGGCAGTTATGATATATGTATCCATTATCTGGCAACTAAAGTTTGTTTCAAGGCGTCAATAGCGGTAATCTGACCGTGGTTGTTGTTAATAATGATGAGTTGTAAACGACTCAAAAGATTATCTACAGCCCTACCAAACTGCATGTATTTAATAAGTGTTGTTAACCCCAACAGACACATCAATGTGATACATGTACTGAATATCCATTATTATAAACATGTGGAATGCAGTATTATCGGTATACTGACACGATCTGAAAACGAATACATACAAAAATATGTTTGGAAAATACTGGTATATTGTGTTTTTCAAAATCATGCATATTTTCATCTTGTTTACAAAGTTAACATAAGCATGATAAGTGAGAAGTCTAATTGGAATTATAAAATTCAGAAATTAGCAACTGATACCTGTGATCGAAAAAGCGAAACTATTTTATTAATGTGTGTATCCAACAAAATGACTACGCAATTGCAGGGGGAGTCAAATGTATGGGTCAATTCTTATTCAGGTTCATAACAAATTACAGATGAAAAATGGCTTGCAATATATTCAACACTCAATTTTGCGACTAATTTGCTTGCTATAGCTCCTAGAGGCAATGCAAGGTGTCTCACTAAGAAAATACATCTGACTAAAACAGCGTTAGAAATTGGCACTAGTCCTATAGTCCTTGCCAAACTGCCCAATGGTAAAGGTATCATAAGGACTAGTAGAAATTTTAAGGGTTTTGCTATATGTTATCATTATAAGGACTAGTGGACGAAAACTGTTAGTTTCTAACCCTGCTAAAACCAACGACTTGTAGTTCACTAAGAGGTGACTAACGGGATCGGGTGGTCAGGCTCACTGACTTGGTTGATGCATGTCTTCGTATCCAAATTGTGTGGATCGATGCTCATGATATCAATCACTTGATTGTCTGGTCCAGACTCGATTATTTACAGACCGCTGTCATAGAGCTGGAATACTGCTGAGTGCGGCGTTAAACAACAAACCAACTAATCATACAATGTGTTGCCAACAGTGCACTCTCACAATTAACGTTAAATTGATGTTGCACAATGCTGGCCAGCTGGGGACTACTTCAAAGGAAATGAATATAATAAAAGATTCTAAGATTCCCTAAATTATAAAGGTCAAGAGCTCTATCAAGATCCTTGTCAACACCATAATCAAGATGGCCATAAAAATCACAGTGACTATCTGAACTGCCTCTGGCAAGACACAATAGCAAGCATCAGTTTATCTATGACTAGACACAGATAGACATTCCTTTCCCCTGGGTATAGCTCATACATGTTTTACGAGCTGACTGCAAAACTCCAGCGGATTTTATAACTTCAGGGTAAATAGGTCCACAAGCGGTCCCGTTATAACAGCATGCCAGGGTGTTAAAAAGCTTCGGCTATTGTGTGTGTAATGCATGGATTTAGAAGTCAACAAGCTGTTGCACACCCTGTTTTAATCATAATGTAACTGAACAGATGGTTGTATAAACTAACCACATCAGCATCACACATTGTACCACTGCTTGGAACAAAACATATGCCAGGCTGCCATCAGGACCAACAGGCTTCAGAGCTGCAGGCCCTGACTTAACTCTTCAGGTCCTCCTTTTTAAAAAAAAATGCAGCTTTTTGTGACAGATAAATCAAGACGTAAATTTACTGCAGGATAGAAGGACCCATACACCATAATACAGTGAGTGAGTGAGTATGGTTTTACGCCGCTTTTAGCAATATTCCAGCAATATCATGGCGGGGGACTCCAGAAATGGGCTTCACACATTGTACCCATGTCGGGAATCGAACCCGGGTCTTCGGCGTGACAAGTGAACGCTTTAACCACTAGGCTACCCGACCGTCCCCATTCAAATTTGGATCTTTGGGCCTGATATGAGTGAGTTTGGTTTTACGCCGGATACAGTATTCCAGCAATATCACGGCGAGGGAGGCCAGAAATGGGCTTCACACATTGTACCCATGTCAGGAATCGAACCTGGGTCTTCGGCGTGACAAGCGAACGCTTTAACCACTAGGTTACCTGACCGCCCCGGGCCTGATATGAAATCTACCTGCCACAGGCCTACGGGCAAGCACTTATTTCAAACACTGCATTGTACCCATGCTGGGAATGAAATCGACACATAGAAGAGAACTCACAGAATACACACTGTTGTAAAATACTGACCTAAGCATGTTTCAATTTCTAAAATAAATAATTAAAAAACTCCTCTCTACTGTGTTTACAGCTTCATCATAAACAAATCATAAACAAAACAAGCAATTATAACATAGAAAGTCTGCCCACTTCATGTTTCAAGTCCTCTGGGATACCAGGTGTATTTTATACCTCATACAGCATGTAATTTACATATCTTTATGTAAATCTTTCATGTTTTTCATCATCACAAAGTATTTTTGTTACATAAGTATGATTTCTAAGTGTGCCCTAAGGCACTTGAAACTGAAATTTAACCGCCAGGCAAAAGAAAGTTTACACTTGAAAATTAGATTTGACCTTAAAAATTACAAATTTATCAAAACATCACAAAGCTGAAAACAGTTCCCGTAAAACTGCAAATTTAAGGTCCAAAACACAACTACAATACCCTATCAAATACATCGCCATCGATTAACCATTTCTTGTTTGTTTCATGTTTCACCACCATCAACTATTTGTGTATACATGTACTTCGTTTTGCGGGGCAGTTTTTTGTCCATGCCATTACATCTTCAACCACGCCACTGGCACTTTAGTACAAGGAAGTTCAAACCATGGTAACCTTGATTTTTACATGCAACAGCTGCAAGATCAATATATAGACAACTATCATACAAGCAAATATACAGCAAGTTGTCATGATCAATACTGCAACTGTCTACCAAATGGAAATTCGCATCACTGGCCATCAGCATTACTATAGTCATGATAGTCTGGAAGGTAATTTAAGGTACCGACGTTTACTACAATATCTGAAAAACTATCGGACCTACTCCAGTCAAAGTTGGTATGAGATTATTAAACAGTCTTACATAACTGGATAGTACATTTAAAGACCATCGGTGCATGAATAAAAAATCTGTCTATTTAGCTATCACTATATTTCATCAACAACCAGACCTGTTCGTCACGGGTGGAACGAGCATTCATTGTAACAGCCATCTGCATAATGCTACCCCTGCGTCACAGGGCCATATGACACAGTTGAACCAATCAACTCAACTCGAAAGGGTGCACGGGAATCACGTACGTTGAGACGCCCAACGCTAACACCGTATTCGTGCGTGCGTGATAATCTCATACCAACTTTGACTGGAGTAGGTCCGATAGTTTTTCAGATATTGTAGTAAACATCGGTACCTTAAATTACCTTCCAGACTATAGTCCCTGATGCCTTTAACAAATACATTCTCTTGTATAATAATCCTTGGAAGGCTCTTGAGCATGTTTAACACTTTAAACAAATACTGTGTGACAAGACATTACATCTGTATTTAAAATAGTCCATTTACAGCAGACATTGCGGAGCTGAATACATAATTTCATTATAACATGTACATGATTTAAACTGACAACTTTGAAAACGCATTTTCAAATTGTTGTAGTATTTGGCAAAATGGCCCCAAAAATAAAATTTAAAAAAGTTGCTCTGTGTATTTAGGCATGAGATAACCAAACACTATACAACGTCGTTGTACAGGTTCAAATTTCATTTGATGTGCTTCAAGATGGACTGGAGCACATCTTGTCGGTTTCTTGACAACATGAATTTACAATTTTTTTCATATTTTTGTAGTATTTGGACAAATGGACCAGAGATGCTTGAAAACATGAACATATATGTTTCATTGTGAGTCAGTATATGATGGGGAAAACAAGACTGGGTTTGACATTGAATATTATGATGGAAGTCATGGCTAGACTATAATTTCTTAATCACTTTAATTATTCTGTGATTTTTTTCCTCTTAAAACATTAGTATTTATATGAGAGTATGGATCACTGGCCCATTGGGCAATTTTCGTTTGAATACAACAAACAGAGGCTAAGAAATAAATACAACATCTTGAGGCTTTACAAATTACGTGATTTCAGTTACATCTGAATACAGCATCCCTTCCACAAAAAGGCATCCATATACGTCCCCAATGTTGTGAGGTGAGGTGAAATGGGGTTATACGTTGCGTCCAAGATTATTGCACTTATATAGCGACGTGCATGTATGTGTGTGTGTTTGTGTGGCTGCTTGTACTAATCCGGACTGATGCCGATTTATAGCACTAGCTCACTGAGATACCATGCCGCAGTTTAACATGAATACCCCATTCAGACACATTATACTAACTCCGAGCTTACCAGTCCTTGTTATAGCCCCTTAATGCCGAGCGCCAGACAGGGTAACAACAAGTACCATCTTTTAATGTCTTTTGGTATGATGCGGTCGGGGATCGAACCCCGGACCTTCCGCTCTCTGGGCGGACGCTCTACCACTAGACCACGGATGCGGTCCCCAATGTTGTGAAGTTTTGTAAGAGAAACTGATGCAGAAACTGATACAGAAACTGATGCACATGTTTAACCCTGTAACTCACTGGACACTTCCTCTCAAAAATAATGTCGTCCAATTTACATCATCAAGTTTTGAGGGCATGTTTGAATCTCCAGAAATGACGTCAAGATAGAACAATGTTTTATCGTGAAATAAACCACGGTTCGGTCTTCGTTGTTCTTGGGGATGGAACCTGCACATGGAGTACTGAGGATAACAACTTCTTTATTATCCACAAACTACAGGCACGTGCATAAATAACAAAGAAGTTGTTATCCATAATACGCCTTGTCCTGAAACTGCTGAAGACATCTGTGTACATTAACTGCAGGGGTGGACACCATTGGAGTGAGTTGGGTTTAACGCCACTTTTAACAGTATTCCAGTTATATCGCTTAACTGCGACATATCGTTATGTCAGCTTAATGTGGGAGGAAAGCCCAAAATGAAGCAGGTCTCAGATTTTTACCACTTCGGTGAAACCCATGCATGGGTATGGTGCTGACAAACCCACAATCATTGGTTTCTGGCGTGATGAATCTATTTTTAGCTAACAACCATACTGGATCTTCACTTTCACATAACATTCAGGTAATAATGACAAATTATGGGACAAGTCTTGTAAATGAAGAAATGTAAAAACAAATCAAGAAAAACACCATCAAAACATTTGGCTTACAGATTAAAAATATGTTAAAATTATTATTTTTCTATTTTCTTACCTTAAGGTCTTTGCTGCTGAGTAAATATTTATTCACAAATACCATTGATATGGAGATGGACCTGAAACAGTGAACACATTTGTATGTTTAGTAAATCTTACAATAGCACACTAAACTAGACAACATAGCATTGTACATTCAGAGCTACAGATATGCTGCTTATTTGCGTAAAATACTCCCCAAAATTATTCAAAACCCAATTACCGTATTTGATGTAATAAGGGCCCAGGGCGCTCTCATAATTAGAAATAGGGGGTTCTTATAAGAATAAAATTTTATTGGAAAGATAGTTAATTTCGTGGTTTATGTCGACAGCCTGAAATGATACAAAAGAAAAGTCTGTGCGTATTATACGTATTATATTTTTCCAGAATTTAATTGCCCATTATTAAGGGTGCATATTACACATGAGTGCGTATTATACACGAATAAATAAGGCTTGTGTACTTTGATCAATTGGACGGGGCGCTAGTTTACTTTCTGAGTCAAGCCTATATATTTAGAACCACTATATACATCTAAAACATTATTTCACTTTTTTGTAATCTTAAAATGTTAACTTATTTTGGGAAAAAACGAATAGAGCGATGAATGGATGAGTGAAAAAATATTGGTTACCCAATGAAAAATGTGATAACCCAATTAAAATAGAAACCCAAGAGTAAAAACTCAATTGCTCAAAGTTATCTGGAGCTCTGTACATTGGATATACCACAAACTTCCTGTTTGACATTGTATTCTCCATGCACAGATCAGCATAGTATCAGATTCATTACATGTAAACTAATACTGCAGCATAGTGCACAGAATCACCACACCCTGTAGCACATGGTCCAAATTGCAACACACTGTACAGTGGTTTTGCAGTGTTTTTCAAAAATACATGACCTGAATGTATCGCAAAAATCATAGTTCATAGTGTTTTAACTTACTGATAAGCATGTGTAGATCGAATTTGGGGAATATTGGTTTACAATGGTCCCAGACAACAAAATGATAAAAGCATATCTTGTTAATTTTAATGAACAAATATTTATATGTGATACCAGAGAAAATAAAAATAACTGAAGAGGTGCTCGTGATTCTGTGGAGCATGTTGGTAACTGTTGAAGAGATTTGACGAGGAAGTCCTATCATCAGTTTTGATTCTCTCTTGTCGCGTTATAAAAGGAATCATTTTAAACTCATAAGCGGATTTGTTAATAGTTTCACAAAAATCAAAGTTATTGGTACAGTCAATGTTATACACAGAATATTTCAGAAATAACACCGAAAAACTAAGATGCCAATAGACAATTAACAGAATGAAGGGACTGGGCATTTTTTGTGGAGGATCGGGGGGGGACCAGTCCCAAACTTCGTTATTTTTTGCGATGTTTACAGGGAATTTGGTGAGCATGAACAACCATGTTTGTTTTGCTTGTTTGCTTGTTATTGCGCTCAGCAATATTAGAGCTATATGACTACGGCCTGTATTTTAATCGAATCTCGACCAGACAATCCAGAGATTGATATCATGAGCATCGATCCACTCAACTGGGATTTGATGAAATGCATCAACCAAGTCTGCAAGCCTGATCACACGATCCCATTAGTCGCCTCTTACGACAAGCATGGGTTTCTCATAACCTACATTTTTCTAACCCAGATCTTCATGGGTATATGGCAACCATGGTAACAAATTTGCACTGATTATGTTTACTAAATCGCAAATTTTGTAAATTACAAATCTTCAAGTCTTGAGGGGGATACATTCACGAGAATGCATTCATCAACATAAAGTTGTGTTACAGAGAGGTTTTTTTTATCAAAGTGCGTTCAATAAATTGTGTAGATTATTCTGTCTCTAATACACTCACCTATGTCTATCAGGTCTATTCTAACGTTTCTCAAGGCACCTTACATTATTGACAATGTAAGGAAATTTTTTTATGGATGAACAACTTCTTTAGTACAATTTCATCAATAAATTCGTATCCTTACTTTGTATTACAACTTCTAAATGACTATCAAAGAAATTACTGACAATACCAATGCAAGCCGACAACACGTTTACTCCAAGAGATTAGGCCAGCGGCCCACAAACATCAGCTGAATGCGGACATGCTCTACTAGGTTAACTCGATAAACAAACAGGACTACCGGCTGACCGGTATACTGTCAACGTGGTAGCCTAGTGTCAACTGAGTTCGCGTTGACTACATTGACAGACAGAATGTTACAACAAACTTACCAGTATGCAGCAACCACAGCTGCAATCTTCAGCGATTTTGAAACAAACGATTCCATCATCACTTTCCTCCCGCTTGGATTATACCGAAAAGAACGCATTGAGCAGTCAACAGTGGTGTATATATCCACGCCTAACAAACCGGTTTTCGGACTACACAGTGTACCATGTCAATAATGTCCGGGAAACATAATTTCACAACAATGCTTTCATAATGGCACCCTGTAGGTTATTGTTGTGATATTGTCACATTATTCAACATTATAAATAGAATAATTTGGTTAATAAGGGAACCATGTATTTTTTTATTTTGAGTTATTGCTCATACTCATGCTAATTTGATGAACCAATATTTAGGGTGAGTTATTTCCTACAACACCGCTTGTGACGATATATGGTTGACGTAAAAGTATGCAATACCGGAAAATGTAATAATGATAATACGAAAGATTCCCGAGGCTAAACGACGCAATAGCCGACCCTTTATGGTTGTGAAGTTAACTTTCTTCAACTGATAAAGAATTAGATGTTTAGCAGCATTTAGCATTATGTTTTATGTTAGGGGACGCTTTATTGTTCCTTTCATTTGTAAGGCAAAATATTGCTAATTATCTCACATCTAATAAAAACTCTATGTCAGGTAATGTATTAAGAATATACTTTAATGAATATATTTTTCTTATTTAATTTAGTTGTTGTATTGTTTGGAAAATAAAGGCACTAAATACAATAAACTTTAGTATCCCTGTTCATCCAAAACAGTTCAAGTAAATGATTATTAAAACGGAAAAACATTTAATATGTAATAACATTATTACATATTAAGATACACTGGTTGTAGATTTAAAAGTAGTTGTTTTAAATGAGCTCAAAGGTATCTATTTTACTATTTGTTTATTCAAATATAGTTGACTTTGTAGATATTTATCAAGTTAATATTCCAGTCGTGGGTTAACGTTTAGAAAACATCTTTGCCGGTGCGTGTCCACTTTTCGTCTGCTGGCGTGGCCGAGGATCGGAGGCAAACTTTCTTGAAATAGCCGACCGCATGTCCAGTTGTTTTAAGCCCAAAACATGGTAATTCGTTCATTGTGTTTACGTACTTAACGGTACCCATATTTATATGGTGTAAGGGGTGGATGAGGTGTACTCACATTATGATAAAACAATAATTATAAGTCAGAAAAATTGCAGAGGCTGAGAACGAGGTATGAAAGTGCATATGTAAATAATGTAATAATTAAACTTGTCGGAATAATACGTAAATTTCTATTTGACATATATTTTTAAAAAAAACACGATCTTGATATTTCGTAGCAGTATTCTAGACCTTTGACCGAGTTGTAGCTGATCAGTTTGCTAATTGACATTTGACAAGGCTGATGCAATGCTTGTCATGGCCAGCTGATGTCATTTCTTTACTCAAACCCACATAAATATATAAGGATTGCTGCATTTTTACTATCCAACATCCACTGGTCGCTAATACATAGCAACGATTCACAACTTCATAACATTAGTCAAAACTCTGATGCTGATTCACAATGTTCAACAGAGTGCTAAATACATTATATCATGGACATTTTTATTCCGCCTTTTTCATATCGTTCCCAAATCAATTACCTTTTACAGCTAAACCTTTGGAAATGTATTTTAAAAGGGGTTATGGGTCTAAAAACATGAAAGTGTCACGTTAACTTCATGGCCTCTATTTACAGATTCTTAAATTTTGATAAAATACATTTCTTTAGGCACAAATTAATCTTTCTAAGTACTCGAAAGTGTCACATTGACTTCATGGTCTCTGTTTACAGGTTCATAAATTTGGATAAAATACATTTTTTAGGCACAAATTAACCTTTTTTAATCAAAATAATTGCCTTTCAAAATCCTGAAATAAATGCTGTATTAAAAAAAAATGGTCTTGGAAGTGGAAACAAGGTTTTATTCCCATGATACTCTGTAATTTGCACTTGTATTAGCGACCAGTGGATATCAGAGAGTAACAGCGGTTGATGTTATAATTTTGCAGCTGGAGATTGATCTCTTCAACTGCGGTGAAAGTAGTTGTGAATATTACTAATTAGGTTCATTTGTGCCTGTAAATACATCGATCCATGTGTTTATATAGGTGTAAGTTGAGCTTTTAGGTCGTTGTCAACATAGGTTAAACTATGTATATGATGTACCAGGCTACACTAATTATTACCCCGGTAATCTAAACTCAAGGCTGATGAGAGCAACCCAACTCAAAACTAATCACATCATCAAGATTACCCTTAGGTGTTAGCCTAAACCCTTTTCTCATTAACCTCAAGGCCCCTCATCTTTTACGTCCCCAGGAATAAGTCCAATTGGTCCAGCAAGCCTTTTTACAACTATCATGTTGCCCACAGTGTTTACGATGGTCCATAGACAACCTGATCAAACAGCCTTTCAAGCTAGTTGATTAGGCTGATTGTTAGCATGGTTAGGAGAGGAACATGCATGGACATTTTCCAACAACATTGATATATGCATGAGAATGAATGAAAAGGACTGGGAAAAAACATCATTGATATGTGTGGGGGATGATGCAACTGGGCTATACGAGGCCAGACTAGATAGAAGTCCATGACTTAACCTACAAGTCTGAAGCCTGGGTCTAGTAAAATCCTGTACTGTCTAGTAAACTCAGCTAATAAGATTCCATGTGATAACACTAAGCTCTACTGAAAATTATGCTTAGAGCCATGTTTGAGCAGATTCAAAACAGTTTGGCATTGACTGACATTGACGCTCATAGTCTACATTTTGGAAAACCCATGTACATACATGTAGTAGTATAACCAGTGTCGACTTTGAACCCAAGGTGAGAGTTTCAAGCTGTGCTTGATATGCAAAACACAAATTCCTAAATAAGACCTAACCTGCACAGTGTCAGAGACTAAAAAATGCAACTTGTAATTATTTTGGGGGGTCACTTATGAAACAAATAATCATATCTGAGGCCTAATGAAATCTTTTGTATTGGGAACATTGCTTTGGGTGAGAGGATTAATGCACAATATTTTCTTTAAATGTTGCCTAAAATTTGAGTCAGGTTATTTGAAAAGAATGTCTCACCCGTTATATGTATTAAGTTTTTGTGTCAGTGAAATTAGGGTCAGTGTGTTTGGCATAAGGATTACATCAAGTAAAGCATGTAGTAGCAAGGCAATCTTGATGCTAATAAGAACGTTCCACTTAAAACCCTTAAAATGGCAAATTTCTACTAGTCCTTATGATATCTTAACTATTGGGCACTTTGGCAAGGACTACGGGACTAGTGCCAAGTTCTAACACTGATATAGCTGGAAAACTGCTGAATGCGGCGTTAAACAACAAACAAAACATTAGGCCCTTATATTTTTTTCATTTGTTGGCTCATGTATCCATCAAACAATTTTCATTAAAAATTGGAGAAGAAATAAGTCCATATTTAATGTATGCAGTGAATGGCACATGGTCCTGTGCTCAGCACACAGGTCACAAATCAGGTGAAATTAAGCAACATCAGTCGTAGAGAGTCCTTGGATGGGTGACCACGTTTTGGCAGCTTGGCTCCTGAGAGTTTCTTGGGCTTCGGTCCTGCACCAAATTGAAACACATGTAACACATGTTGCATCTCATTGGGCAAGTACCTTTGTTCGAAATGGGCCTCTGTTCACCCAGCAGTGAAAGGATACCTGGTTGGATGAGATGACAATGTGGTTGTTAACCTTCTTGCGCCTAACAGGCAGCTTGGGTTGTGTACTCCCCAGGGAGCTGAGAATGATTGTTGAGTGCACACTGGCCTAGTAACAGGGATAATAATACCGCTTTGAGCATACCCCGGAGTGGTGTAGAAAAATGTGCAATATGAATGGCCTATGATTATCAATATTTATATTTTTAGCCAACACATCCCCAAATGAGCGGATTTTGTGCATAATAAATTGATTAATCTAGATTTTAGATAAAGTTGATGAATGTATCATGTATTTTGATAAATCAAAGGTTGAGGCCGAGGTCAATATTTTCCTTTTTTCCTTTAGCTGACTTTGGCCAAGGACATCTGTGATCCAACACTGAAACAGTATGATGTGTTTGGGAGGAAAATGCCACTCTGTCATGAAGATCATAATATGTCTATGTTGTTTCTTGCACTTCAGGTTCCCAAATTGTTCCAGTGGCTTATTGGCGTCAGCCTGTTGATGTCAGTATGGTTCAGCCTAGTCTTTGGCTACGTAAAACTTGATATGCCAGGAAACTGCCTTGATGTTGTGCAAGTGGTACGTTCATTTCTATATTTTAGTGCAGACATTTTTCAGAACTTGGTTTACAAATCCACCCATTTCCAGAATTAAAATGTGCAAACAAAAAAATGACAATCAGTTGTTTTTTTCTGCTGACCTTAATCTTTTATAAGTAAAATGATAAAAAACAACCCATTTTCTGAAGCCATTCCAGACTAGAAATATGTTGTTGTTTCTTCTGTTGTTCCTCCCAAATTTTAATTTTTGTTACCTTCTTAACATTTTGAGGAAATCAAATACAAATATTAAATATTTGAAACTGGATGGGGCCAAAAATCTTATGTTCATGAGTTCGAATCTCTGATTGGACCTGATTATCATTCTAGGTGTGTCAGCATCATTCACATGAAAGTGGTAAAGTTTTTAGACACGGACCACTTCACTTTCTTCCCACACCATTCTGACATGCTGTGATATAACTGAAATACAGTTTGAAGCAGAATTAAACCCAACTCACTCACATAGTGTGCACCATGGTAGTGTCATTTGGAATACACTGTGCAGGGTTGTGTCCCTTTGATGTGCCAGGAGACTAGGACCATGAGTTCAAGTCCCTGATGACTTATCTTGGTTTCTGAGCACCCATGCTTGTGGGTTCTTCACCAAACCCATACACGTCTTAGACCTGATTATTTCATCTTTCATCCCACATCAAGCAGACAGGACATGATATAACTGTTTAAAACAAACTCACTCACTATATATATTCTTTTCAGATGCCACTATATCTGTTGATGTGTTTTGCTGTGAGTATGCAAATATTTACATTTGATATACAATAGTTTATAAAATGCATTGCTTTGCAAAGTTCATGTCCGCAAAACATATGATGCTTCGACTTGAGGCGTGATGAGATGTAACATTCTTTTTACAGTGTAAAGCTACTTTTATTGAAGAACCTGTTGTGACAAGTGGTACTTGTTGATGCCCTGTCTGGCGCTCGGCATTAAGGGGCTAAAACAAAGTCTGGTCACATTGGAGTCAGTATGCTGCGTCTGAGTAGGGTATTCATGTTTAACTGTGGCATGGTATCTCAGTGGGCTAGCGCTATAAATCGGCATCAGTCCGGACTAGTACAAGCAGCCCCACACACACACACATGTGCATGCACGTCGCTATATAAGTGCAATAATCTTGGACGCGACGTCAAACCCCATTTCACCTCACTTTGTCGTGAGTAGACATTTTTGTCAGTAATAATCCCTTGCCATTTCAGTGTTATTCCCTGGCTGTGGTAGGATACAGGGTGGCGACATTTAATGACTGTGTGGATGCATCAGAGGAACTGAAAAGGGTAAAATCAAATATTTTACAATAAATTATTTATGCTCTGGCAAACATTCTTTTTCAATGACATGGCAGATTTGGCTCCCCATAGCTCCTGTAATGTTGACTGAAGTGAAGCAGGACAGGCAGTTAACATTACACAGGGCCATGGAAAAAAAAAACCCTGTAGCTGTGATAGCAACAAGTCCCATGTACCCATGTAATCAATATACCGTATTTGACGTAATAAGCGCCACGGCGATATTTGCTAATATATTGGCTAGTGAACAATCCCAATGAGCACCCCTTCCGATTGATCAATGTACAAAAGATTTATTTATTCGCGTATAATACACACTCGGGTGTGTTTTGCACTCTTAATTATGGGCAATTAAATTCTGGAAAAATATATCTGTTGTATATAAACATTTCAGGCTGTCAGCATAAACCCTGAAATTTATCTTTCAACTCTGTATTTTTCACCAAAACAATATTCTAATAAGAGCCTTCTATTTCTTATGTTGAGAGCACACTAGGCGCTTATTACGTCGAATATGGTATGGTAACTGGTATGTAATTATCTCCCTTTGACCGATGGACACTGTTGATGATTTTTAACACATTGGTTTCTAGAGCAATTTCCCAGTAAATATTTCTTGTCTTCTCTATTTATTTATTGTATGTTTTCATGACAAGCTGTATTTTAGATTATTGAGGTGTAAACACTAATCAGTTGCTAATGTCATTTTATCAATTTTATTTTAGTAAACATGCTTTCTCGTTTTTATTTTGCAGCAAGTAAAGGAAGCCAGAGCCGATTTGAAGAAAAAAGGATTTAAATATGCCGATTAACAACATTAATTAAAATTCACAAAAATATTTTTCTATTTTTGATGCAACATTTTCCAATGTGAACCAAGTCCTTGACATTGAAAGTTCATTTTCGTGAAACATTTTGTTTTAGTAGAGCATTGAATGCTACACAGTGGGTTAAAGATCTGCATATAACCAATGGAAGAAACGGGAACTTCAGTAGACTGTTTGTGCCAAAGTCTACTGGTTAACTCTTCTCCAGTGCGAGGAGTACATGTGCTGTAGATATTCTTATTGTCATTTCCATTGCCAAATAGTACCCTTATCCTGATGGTTGCAGAACACATTACTTTAGCCTGTACAGGTACTTTACTATCATAGAGTAGACTCCCCTATCTCCATTTGGAAGTAGGGCTGGGACAATTCGCCGATACATCGATGTATCACGATACATTACATTTCGATACGACTATTGATTCGTGGGTCTATGTATCGATACAAAACGATACACAGCTGATATACTACGAGTAACAAAACGTATTGCCAAATAGTTCTGCTGTTCAGATGACATTTAGAATGCATTTTTATTGCAGAAAATCCAGGTATTTAGTTGTGACGTTTTTTTTGTATCGTATCGTACGTATCGTATCGTGACCCCACTATCGTGATACGTATCGTATCGTGACCTTGTGTATCGTCCCAGCCCTATTTGGAAGTAACAACCGTTTAGTTCAAGATATTGTGATTCGAGATACAGATACCAAGGGTGGAGCAGCATTTTAAAAAAGAGGGGTCCAAAATATCAAACTCCTCTCTGTCAATTTTGGTGCCTACAACATACTACATTTGGTTTTCTAAATCCCCAGGACCCCACTCTTGATCCGCCTATGGATACAAACATTTTACCAATATTATTTTCATTCTTGGCAATTACTGCTTGTGAAACGTCATGATAACATCTCACTAGTCAAGATTATTTTGTGACCTGTGTTAAAACCAAATAATTACTACTTGACCAGTTTACCAAATCATCCGACACAAATGTTAGATGTGTATGTTTAGCAATGGATGAGTATGAAGTCATTATCAATGTGCTAAGTAATTGTTTGATCTTAGAAATGAGTGTGTATGTGAATCATTTATGTTTAAAATTGATGTTTAATTTAAAAATACAAATTATATAGCTTTTTAGTGACCCAGTTCATGATATATGAGCAAATGTAATTATATGTATGTAGGGAGACTTTTGTTACAGATGGTTCAGTTTGAGATAGGTATAACTTTCCAGATTGATGGAGTCTACTGTATGTGTGTAAAATACACCATTCAAGGGGGCCTAGTCATCTAAGATTTCACAATTTGGTGTTCAGAGTTGCATCCCTTAGGTGTGCCAGAATCCTTTCATTGGGTTCGAAATCCAGGTTCATCTCGATAAGTTCATCAGCATCAAAACCATGACTTTTCCTCCTACCGACAAGAGAACCATTAAATTATTTATAACAAGTTTGGGCAGATTATACAAGTTGTCTTCTTGTAGTGCCTTTATAATTGCAAATCCTTCACATCAGGTTGAATATTTTTATGTAGAACGGTGATTTTGCTCATCACCTTAACAGCATGTTAATTTCAAGGGGACCACTATTGTATATGATACACTTGCATGAGAAGCAATGTTTATCTTGATTTGTGTTATCTTTATTTTGTCCATTAAGAGAGACAGTTCTTGTATCTAATTACTATGTCAAGAGTGGAAATCTGCCATTTAGTCTTCTAAGCAGATATGTGTGTGTGTTTCTGCATATATTGTGATAAAATTATTGAAAAAATATAGGTTGTTGGAAGATAAATCATGTTTAATATCTAAAACATAAACGTTGGAAATTGAAATAATTATAACTATATTATACAGAATTATGTGATTGAAGAACCGGGGTTCTACCCGATATAAAATATTCAGTCTTCTTCACTTAAAAATTAAGAAAGGTAAATAATATCCATTGTCAGTCCCTCTGGATGCAAATGAGTGTGAATATTTAAATGATTGAACCTAGTAAAATTGAAACATGTACTTAACATTTATCTAAAAAAATTGTGCTGACAAGAAATACAAGTTCAATCAAGTTTCTAATTCAAACAAATTCACATTTATGATAAGCCTAAGGGGTGACACATACTTTGTATTATATTTGCTGTTGGTACACCCCGAGACAGCCCTAAACTGTTATTGAAAGTCAGGACTTCGTAAATATGTAAATAAATACTCTCAAATAAATCCCTGGAGTCTGTATCATTTTCACATTCATCACCGTCATCACATTGTGCATCCTTTGCTGCATCCTCAAGTCATGTTATGATGTATAATTGTAAATATTGTACCAGAGTAAGTTTTTCTATGCACTGGTGTATATTAAAACTGATATTCTGTATGTTTTGTTTGTTTTGCTGTGTCATGAGGTGAAATTAGGTTTAATGTCGCGTCCAAGATTATTGCACTTATATAGCGACGTGCATGTACGTGTGTGTGTGCGTGTGGCTGCTTGTGGCTGCTTGTACTAGTCCGGACTGATGCCGATTTATAGTGCTAGCCCACTGAGATACCATGCCGCAGTTTAACATGAATACCCCACTCAGACACAGTATACTGACTCCGAGCCGACCAGTCCTTGTTTTAGCCCCTTAATGCCGAGCGCCAGACAGGGTAACAACAAGTACCATCTTTTAATGTCTTTTGGTATGATGCGGCCGGGGATCGAACCCCCCCCCTTTCGCTCTCCGGGCGGACCCTCTACCACAAGACCATGGAGGCGGTCTTGCTGTGTCATGAAGTGTGCATACAGATGAGACTGAACATAATACTGGACTCTTTCTTAGAAGGGAGTTGTGAAAGTTTAGTGGTTGAAGCATCTAGGTATCAAGACGAGGACCTGGATTTGCTTATTCACATGGTTAGGGTGGGTGAAACCTATAGAATAGGTAGAATGGGTCTTCAGCAACCCATGCTTGCCATAAAAGGCGACTATGCTTGTTGTAAGAGGCGACTAACGGGATCGGGTGGTCAGGCTCGCTGACTTGGTTGATGCATGTCATCGTATCCCAATTGGATGGATTGATGCCCATGACGTCAATCACTGGATTGTCTGGTTCAGACTCAATTATTTACAGACCGCTGTCATATAACTGGAATATTGCTGAGTGCAGTGTTAAACAACAAACAAACAATCGATCCAGGTGCTCAAGTGATTTGATGCACTTCAAGAGGTTAGGCAAGTTTTATTACTTGATTAAACGATCAGACCGTCTTGACTGGGTGCCACCATTTTGTTTAAAGCAAGTGCAAGTGATATGAGAGGTGGATCTGTTTGGTCAATAGGAGGGACATAGAAGGGACATAACTCGTAGTAGCTGCTAGTGGCTCTCAATCACACCTGGAAATTCCAGCCTTGTTCGGCAAGGGCAGAAACTGGACTTTTATAGTCAATTAACGCCCTTGCCTCGGGAAGATGGCAGATCCAGAAGAGCAGTGCATCAGAGAGAGTACACTCTTTGAAGCATACTTGTGAATGCTTTGCACCTTATTATGACCACATAGTGCACTTCTCCATTTGCCCCAAACAGTATTGTTGAAGAATAGGGGGGAGGGGGTGGGGAGCAGTTTTTCATGACCAGACTGCCCTGATCATGCTGTGGCCTGGTCCAGAAATCATTATTTTCAGGACTTCTGCCGATCTTATAGGGCTTGCCCACTGAGATACCATGCCGCAGTGTAACATGAATACCACACCCAGCCACAGTATACTGACTCCTAGCTGACCAGTCCTTGTTTTAGCCCCTCAGTGCCAAGGGCCATCTTTTAATGTCTTTAGTAAGAAGCAGCCGGGGATCGAAACCCAGACCTTCAGCTCTCCGGGCAGATGTTCAACCACTGGACCATGGAGGCGGTTGACATGATAATGCAGCTTGAATATTGCTGCCTGTAGCCAAACCAACTTTAACTCAATCACACAGAAATTGAGTGAAACCCAGTGACAAGCTGAGCTACAGATTTCAATGTTCACAAAGAAGGCATTGTTTGTGTCGTTCACAAGGGGCAACTACGTAGATCGGGTGACTTGATTGATTGTGTGTCATTGTCCATATAGGGCATGCTCGTAATATCAGCCACTGGTTTGTCTAATTAAGACTGGCTTGATACAGCTGGAATATTGCCTACTACAGCCTTAACAGGAAACAAATTATTCCTGTGTGGTGAATCTTGGGATGAAGACCATTTCCTACAATCTCAACACCACTGGTTCCCTCAAGGTCACCTGTACCTACACCACGTGAAGCGGCTCTAACAAAGCATGATGACGTCATAAAGTTTATCAATTGGCACCAATGACGTCATATTGCAAGGGGCATTAGCCATGGTGTTTTTGTTATGGAAATAGAACACTTGGTAAATGTGAAAAATATAAATCGTTTTAATGCAAAAAATATGTTAATTATTTGTGATATTTTTATATTTTTGTCTATGACACTTCTAGGTTAACACTTTTAATGTGGAAAAAGTACAAGAAAAATAGGTTCATTTCCGTGTGAACTTGCCCTTTAAACAACAAACAAACAAAGAAAAACCATGAGAACATTGACTTGTAAGACATCCAACCATGACCGATCTCTGGATGCAACGTAATGATTACCTGTGACGCCATGTCGGCTTATTCATAACAGTATAGGTAATCTCCGGGGCTGTGTGACCTACAGGTCATGAATTACGTACACTCCTGGCCCGGGCTGTTACATCGTGTATCGCCAGCTGTCGGTTTTTATACCAATAACAGCTGTTGAAGAATATGTACTGACACGTGTTCTTGATTAAACCAGCAAAATACAATCACATTGTATGTACATCGGAATCTCTGATAAATATCTATCTGTGTATACCTGTATCTCTCAAACAAACACCCTGTGTTTTCCGACACCTCTTCGTTCAGTGCCCTATTTGTTTGTTTGTTGTTTAGCGCCGCATTATGTATAGAGACGCAGGTATTTTATTAGTTATGGTGTATTTAAGTTGCCGTGTACGGTGTCATATTAGGCCCAACATTTTCCTGCTAACCTAATATGACAACGTGGCAACTAAAGACACAATAACGAATTTATGATGCCGAATAGTTTACACCAGAGACCATATCGGTATATGGTCTCTGTTTACACTATTTGGTATCTTTGTCGCACACGTCACGTAAAAATGAAAACTTGACACTTGCAACCGGTATAAACGACAGGACCACTACATATGTTTCCGATACAACGCTTGCAAACATAAACGTTAACAATGGAATATGTAATGCACAAAATGTGAACGTTCAAAGTTCTATAGATAAAATGGATAGAATTAACATAAAAATGCCCGCATGTTAACAGAAATCAGATAACAGATAACAGTCCGCTTTCCCCTATCTATTCTATTACTATGTGACGTCATTGGCGTCACGTTTCTTGTTTGTGACGTCACCCTTTAGTATGTTCTATTACGTTGCTATTTGTAACTCAGTGACCTCCGTTGTAAACTTTTTTTCTCGATATTTTCTTTTCGTAAATAAAGTCACGAACGTGGTTTCTTTAATAAATAATGTCTTTGCTCATCACAATTAATCATATTAAAACACAAAAGAGTGTCGAATAACGAATTTCTGTACCAGAATTTCCATGTGTTTTGTTTGTTTGTTTGTTTGTTTGTTGTTTACGCCGCACTCAGCAATATTCCAGCTATATGACGGCGGTCTGTAAATAATCGAGTCTGGACCAGACAATCCAGTGATTGACATCATGAACATCGATCCACGCAATTGGGATCGATGACATGTATCAACCAAGTCAGCGAGCCTGACCACCCCATCCCGTTAGTCGCCTTTTACGACAAGCATAGTCGCCTTTTACGGCAAGTATGGGTTGCTGAAGACCTATTCTACCCCGGAATCTTCACGGGTCGAATTCCCACTGTTACTGACGGTATACGGTCTCATATTAGGTCAGTAACAACCATCTTGGATTTTTACTGACGGTATACGGGCTCATGTGGGGGTCAGTAGTTCTGCTCTCTGATTGGCCAATCTCACTTTGAGGCATAATAAATATATATATATATATATAGATTTATTATTCAAAACTGGCTCCCACAGGAGATATCGCTTAGGTGAGATCAAGCGATGTCTACATTGTAGATATTGCTGCAATAAAATTGCATCACAATGCTTTGCAGACCATTTTGATGCTCTGTTACCATGACGTCACAATCAAATGACATCACTAATAGCTCTGCTGCTGAAACTGTTAGCAGTACTTTTTGACACTGCTTATTACTGTCTACAAACTGAAAAAGTTGGAAGAATGATGTTAGATGATAAATAAAATCTCACCCTCGTGTCTTTTGATATCAAATAAACTGAGGGCCAAAAGAAACGTTACCAACATTAACTGATTTGCCACTTTGAAACAAAGATTCCAAACTGTTCAAAAACAGTAAAGAACACATCTCACGAATACAGCCTTCATGTTCTCTGTCGTTCTTTGCACGTGCCTTGTGGATTTTGGGAGATATTGGTATTTTCAGCAATTTTTAAAAACATTCTTTCCCAAATTATCGTGCAATTTCCGGGTATAAATTACGCACGGATCTGTTCCCTATCATTGGTTGCGATGATTAACACCAACGAACATGCCAAGACTGACCGCTGTCCAGAGGGAGAGAGCCATAGGTATGCTGCAGATGGGAGCGACACAGAGAGCGGTTGCCATTAACATGAACTGCTCCAAGATGACCATTACCAGACTGGTCGCACGTCTCCGACAGACTGGCAGAACCGCAGACAGACCACGGACTGGCAGACCAAAGGTCACGACCCCGCAGGATGACCGCTTTTTACGGGTACTTCATCTGAGGAACAGATTTCTTTTTGTGACGTCATCAGCTGCCAACAGCTTAGGACATCCGGTCAGCAGACAAACAGTGACCAGACGACTATGGTCTCCGGGCTTATCGCCCTTTCAAGGGCATGACCTTGACCCGTCAACATCGACGTGCCAGATTGACGTGGTGCAGGCAAACTCAGCGATGGCAACAAAGGGAGGCGGTGAGTGCTGTTTAGTGACGAGAGCATGTTCCAACTCTTCAAACCTGATGGGCGGACGCGAGTTTATCGACGACGTGGTGAACGTACGGCTCCTTGTTGTGTCCAGGAGGTGGAACCTTACGGGGGCGAAAGTGTGATGGTCTGGGGCGGCATTTGCGGTGACGAGAAGACGGAACGTGTTATCATCGAAGGCAATCTGACAGCACAACGCTACATTGACAATATCTAACGGCCAGTGGTTCTTCCTTTCATCCAGCGTCAACAACGGACGGTGTTCCAACACGATGACGCCACACCCCATAAAGCCCGTATTACTGCAGACTTCCTCAACGCCAACAACGTGACTGTCCTGCCGTGACCAGCTCGATCACCAGATCTGTCACCCATAGAACATCTCTGGGACCAGCTGGGGCGTCGTCTTCGGAAACGTCAACATCCTCCCTTCACGAGACAAGCGTTGATCGTTGCCCTCCTTCACGAATGGAATCGGATACCTGCATTCGATGTGAGGACGCTTGTCTACTCAGTTCGACGCCGCATTCGAAGATGCATTGCCGCTCATGGAGGTCATATCCCGTATTGAACGGTCTGGACCGTCGTCACCTTAAAGTTGTAACCAATGTTGTTGATCGAATACTGGACGAAAGACCCCTTGTCAAGAAATGTCCCTGTTGGAGGTCAAGGACTCTGTTGTTGAATTAGTAAATTCGCATTTTACTGTTATGAATGATGACTTTCTACAATACTATTGTTATTGCTGCTTCAAATTGTGTTGGTCATATTTTATCCTAGAAATATCGTTGGTAACGTTTCTTTTGGCCGTCAGTTTATATCAACACTCGGGTGAGATTCTCTCTCTCTCTCTCTCTCTCTCTCTCTCTCTCTCTCTCTCTCTCTCTCTCTCTCCATATAAATATATATATATATATATACACAAAAATGAGGTAAATGTTCACTCGGTGTACATGTAATATATAATAATATAATAAAGTCCACGTTAGTCCATCATCTTCTTTATATCAGTTTCAGACATAGTACTTTCGCTGTCTCATGACAGCTCTTCAGTGTGCAGAGCGGTACATGATATGATATGCATGCATTATCGGTAGAGACAGCTCGCCCATTGTTTGTCAATTGACAATTAAACATATATAGTTGTCTATTCTTAATCAGAGTAGCATAAACATTGTGTCTGAATGGAGACCCAAATCAATAACGTTTTCCATTAAGAAACGACTGCCAATTATTGTATTTATTAATTGATGCAACACTGGAAATGTATTATGCAGCACAGGAAATGTAGGTTGTTGTGAATGTATTTATGTATTAATGCATTAAGTGTAAAACTGTAAATAGGGCTATCAATGAATAAAAATATACCCAAAATTATTCGTTTGCTAACAGTGGTAAAAAAATGAACGGTTTGACCTAAAATGTGTTAATGGTGAAAATGAATAGATTGTTTGATTGTGCTCACGTAATAAATAGTTTGTTTGATACAGATGAAGAAGGAACTAGCTTTTTAACCCACAAACGCAAACAAACATTTAAATCAAACGGATGCTCATTCAATAACTTCACACGTGTTCGTCAGTGGATCCGGTAAGTGAGTGAGTAAACATTTAACGTCGCTTCGGCATTTCAGCCATATAGCGACGGATCCGATAAGAACAGGTACACACATTACGTGTTTTTAAACTAAATGTTAAGACAAACCTAACGAAATCCATTATTCTGCTATAAATGCAAGTATATACGTAATATCATTTTTTCAATGCATGTAAATTTGGAATATCACTTTCTCGTTCTATTTGATAATCATATATCTTTTAGTAAAAGAAAGTTGCACGTTGTACTGACCTAAAACACTTTCTTAAAACATTACTGCAGGTGACAAAATTCTACAAGGCGACAACGGTCAGCTGTCGTGTGAAGTGGGTCACGTGTTACTCGCTGTGAGTGGTGCGTATGTATTATCTGGTAATGGAAAGTTACCATTCCTGAAATTGGTAATACAAACGCTAGTTTCTCTAATTACTTCTTGTGCCATGTGCGATTATATCAATAAGTTCCACGTAAATTATACGCATAATAATTGTCAGTCTGTGAAACTGAATGACTGAATTATAACGATAAAAAATATAAATGTAAGGTGCTTTAAGACATTCCATCTATTAGCACGAAATGGCAAAGAACATAATTCCTTCTAAGGCCCTTTGACAATTATTTATCATCCGAATTGATACATATAGTTGTGCTGAGTATCGAACCCTTTCACTAGCCAAGCAACATTTTACACTCATGTTACAAATATTATTATTGAAGTGATAAGAGCTCATAGATGCGTTTGCGTATCCGAGTAACAGTACCGGTTAGAGCGCCGTATTTCAAGAACGACAACTCTTGCAGAGGGCAGATAACTGTAAACTGTCTCCCAAACCGGCTTGCATTTCGCTTGAGCAGGCGAGCAGAACTGGTTCTCAGCATCGGTCAAGTCACATGTTCGGACATAACGCATAAACCCCAAACCAGTCGTCCGTGACTTGCATAATCAACGAGAGGCTAAAGTTCACTTGCCTTGCTTCACTACTGCAACGCCAGGGAAGAACGGAGAAAGCACAGTTCTGTTGCGGAGTTTACAGTCGTGGTATTTACCATTTCGTGAGTGTGAGGCCAACAGATAAGACAACATGGAAAGCGTAAAGAACTTTGTGGCTGGTGGAGTTGGAGGAGTATGCTGTGTTGCAACTGGCCATCCCCTAGACACCATCAAGGTTTGTATGTGCAAGTGTAACATCCTAAGGGATATGTTTGTCCGTTGGACTTTGGACTCTACAGATGTCAGCTGTATTTCAGTTGTACTCGACATTGCCAAAGAAATAATTTTGTCTCCAAAAAGTACAGTTAAGATCTCACATTGGTTGAAAAAGAGAGAGCAAAAAGCAACAACAAAAATAATAGAAACATTGTTTCATTTAAACGTGAAATGGAACTTAATTGTAATTTTAATATAAATATGTTTTATAAAATTCATATCTGTTTAAAGCATACATACAACAGTGATTACGGCTTGGACGGGTAACTCGGGTCGTGTGGGTACTGAGTAGGAACCGGGTATCCACAGGACTACCCGGACCCGTGGTTAGTCAAGTGATATATTGTTTCATGACAAAAAATCACCATATAACCATGATAACTACATGGTTAGCCGACAATTTTAAGTCTCTAATGTTCGCATTTCTTCATGACTATGAACACGTTCCTTCTGACTTATATATGTTTGAACAAAGCTAAAACTTCAGTCAACTTCAGTGTTGTTCAGCATGACCACATCGTTTTCTATGTGTATCTAAATACATTCTGCCAGGGCTACTGTGAAACGATTCCCAATCGGACATTTTGTACCTATCTCTTGACACCAACAGCGGGTACCCGGGTAGGGTCGAGTAATAGGGGTGTGGGTACCCGAGTAATAAATTTGGACACGTCCCAGCCCTAGCAGTAATACTCATGTTTGAGGTTGATGCCACTCCAATGAAAAGTCAAGCAGCACACTTTAACAGAGTAGCTTTATGCCATTTCAGTAAATGGTACATTTGTTCACGAACAATTTGCACACCTAAACAGACTGAAATCCACCATGCCCCTTCAGATTATAATTGATCAATGATTTTTTTTTGCAGGTGCGACTTCAGACGATGCCAAAACCTGAACCAGGACAGTCTCCATTATACAAGGGCACATTTGACTGTGCCATGAAGACAATTAGGCAAGAGGTCAGTTTGCGACTTTAGCCCCTTGTACGCGGTAGTGAAATTCTGTTAAGTAAGCTCAGCGAACAGTCCTTGTAGTACTTAAATATCTATGTATAATCGCATTTAAGAACATATTCTGAAAATGATGCAAAGAGCCATGACTGTTTTCTCAGTCGATGTGTTTGAAGTACCTTAATCACTGTGTCATGTTCATGGACTGGACTTTGGACTCCCCGACTAGTTTAGTGCTGTACAGCAGGGTTCAAAGGTCTGTGGGGTTTGCTGCCATGTTACTTTAATCAAAGGACCCCCTAAATTATAAACTTTGACATAAGAAATATGACAATGACTTATTCATTTCCATCTTTAATTTTGAAAACTGGTACTCATTCAATGTTTCAATTCAAACAAGAATTATTTTTCTTTAATTAGAATAAGGCATCACACAACATTTGTAATTTTTCCCTGTTGGTACAGTGGTCACCCAGGAACCCCCATTTTAATGCCTGGGGCCACAAAACTTATTACCGAGAGTCATGTCAACATTTTTTCGCTTTGATGGAGGTATAGATGTAAAAACTTATGTGCATACAGTGTAAATCTGCGGTTGATAATTGATATCAGCATCATCGTTCAGAGCAGTAATGCAACACAAGCCCTGCCCATTGCATTGTCAACCAATCAAGAAACAGTAGTCTGATAGTAATCTTCCCGAGACAAGGGTGTTAACTGACTATAATAGTCCAGTTTCAACCCCTGCCGAACTAGTCCAGAACTTTCAGGCTTGATCCTAGTGCCACCACCACTACATGATTACGAATTATGTCCCTTCTATATCCCTCCTAGTGTCCAATCAAATGAACTGGATGCCTATTTTGTTACAAGATTTTGATTGGACTATGCATAGTCCAGCCAAATTGTAACTCGGGAATTCAAGCCTAGTTCGGCAAGGGTGGAAAGTGGACTTTTATAGTCAGTTAACTCCCTTACCTCGGGAAGATGTCTGATAGTGGGCGTGCCCTGTTCCCATTCAGGACAATGTTTTGCTTGTTTAGTCAGTCAACTGCCAAGGAATCAGTTGCAAGTTTTTATATACATATATGTATATATAAATCCCTGTTGTACATGTAAGTTGAATGTATGATGTAGCCAACATGGTGAAGTTTGATATTTAAAGGGGGCCCTAACTTCCACATCAAACCTGAAGGACCCCGACAATTCTAACACTGCAGACACAAACTTTGACTTGTGATTAATTTACAGATACATTCTGTAACATAAACAAGAAATAAGCTGCATGTATTTGTACAAAAGTTCAACATTGGCAGGGCGTCCTGGGCCTGTATAAGGGCATGGCAGCTCCCATCACGGGCGTTGCACCGATCTTTGCCATATGCTTCTATGGATATGGCGTGGGGAAGACTTTGCAGCAGAAGACTCCAAACCAGGAACTATCGTAAGTCCTTTACATTTGTAATATGAAAAAGACCTATAATAATATGCTTTTAATAACTCACCATTTGAATATCTAAGATATTCTCCAGGGTTAGAAAGTAACGCTAGCCCACTAGCCCGGGGCTAGTACAAATTCTTGTGGGCTAGTACAATTTCCAGCTTTCCCCATTGTTTTAACATTACAGGATCATTTCTTCTTTACCTAGGCGAGTAAAGAATTTGAGTTTAGTTCTAACCCTGTTCTCACAAAGTGACAATAAGCAATTCCACATTAAGCTGACACGCCGTGATATAACTGGAACAATGTTAAAAGCGGCGTTAAAACACACCTCACTCACTCACTCTTTCTTTGGTTTTGTTCATCAGGAGATGACATTTTTGTATATGCGGAAACATGGTGTGAATTATTATGTAGATGAATATTGTCTCTACACAGGCACATTCAGACATTCAATGCTGGTATGTTGGCTGGAGTGATGACCACTGTCATCATGGCGCCGGGGGAGCGAATCAAGTGTCTGCTGCAGGTACGTCATGTACAACAAATGTCTGAATTCTCTCATTTATAATCCATTTGTTAGTGTGGTGTTACACTTGAGTTGCTATTTAATATACTCAACAGGGCGGTCGGGTAGCCTAAGACCCGGGTTCAATTCCCGACATGGGTACAATGTGTGAAGCCCATTTCTGGTGTCCCCCGCCTCGATAGTGGTGGAATATTGCTAAAAGTGGCGTAAAACCATAATCACTCACTAATATACTCAACAATCCTAGAATTCTAGACTTGCAAAAAATGGAGAATTTGAGTTTTTTAAGTGATTTATACATTAAATGTTTATATGTTTTAAAGAAATCCTAGAAAATCCGAAGCATACTAAACAGTGAGACTGCTCGATATTATCGGTACACTAGTACACCAGGAAACAAAACAAATGTAACAAATGTATTGCGATACAAGCTAAATGGGTCGGTATATTGAGAATATATGTAAATTGTATTATCAAAAATAAAGTAAGATCTTCCTAGGACAGCTTATTTTGAGGAATAATATTTATAATATAGGAAATATATAGGAAGAACAGGCAGTCTCATAACACATTCTCCTTCACCATCCGGGGTGGTCGGGTAGCCTAGTGGTTAAAGCGTTCGCTCGTCATGCCGAAGACCGGGTTCGATTCCCGACATGGGTACAATGTGTGAAGCCCATTTCTGGTGTCCCCCGCCGTGATACTGCTGGAATATTGCTAAAAGCGGCGTAAAACCATACTCACTCACTCACTCCTTCACCATCCACCTTTACTTTTGCCAACAAAGTTATTGTCTCCAGCAATGGTGACCCAAATTATTCAGAAATAGAAAAGGGTATTATGAATCACAAAAAAAGGAGGGGGGCGAATTTAGTAAATTACAATTTCTATTCCTCAAATACAATATGGAGACTTGACTGCAGTTGTCCCATGTGTTGAACAGATCCAGAACGCACAAGGCGGCGAGGCCAAGTACAAGGGCCCCATCGACTGTATGAAGCAGATTTACAGGGAGTCTGGGATCAGGGGCGTATACCGCGGCACATTCGCCACACTCTGCAGGGACGTGCCCGCTACTGGCATGTACTTCATGAGCTATGAGTGGCTGAAGAGGGTGCTCACACCAGAGGGAAAGACGTAAGTCTAGACAGGGAGGTTCTTTGTAAACAATAAACAAGTCTTCTCGTCACTAAAACTTGGAGCTGGTTTACACCAGAGAGAAAGACTTAAGGGGTAAACTTGGGGTCAGGTGTTCTGTAAACAGTAAACAAGTATTCTCGTCACTAAAACTTGGGGCTGGTTTACACCAGAGAGAAAGACTTAAGGGGTAAACTTGGGGTCAGGTGTTCTGTAAACAGTAAGCAAGTATTCTCGTCACTAAAACTTGGGGCTGGTTTACACCAGAGAGAAAGACTTAAGGGGTAAACTTGGGCTCAGGTGTTCTGTAAACAGTAAGCAAGTCTTCTCGTCACTAAAACTTGGGGCTGGTTTACACCAGAGAGAAAGACTTAAGGGGTAAACTTGGGGTCAGGTGTTCTGTAAACAGTAAACGAATCATCTTGTCACTGAAACCTTAAGAGCTGGTTTATGCCTGATCAATAGACTGAAGTTAGAGAAAAGAGGAAAAGTGTGTTCTGTAAGCAGTAAACGAACTACCTTGTTGTCACCTCTTAAGCATAATAACCTGATTAACACCTGGCTTGTCATAGAAGGATTTAGGCTTTGTAAGAAAAGAATGAATAAGTTCATCACATGAATACATGGTTAAATGTTGTTCGTTAGACGTAAGAGGCCTGATAAATGTATCTATTTCAACATGAATAACAAGTAAGATGTGATAAATGGTTCATCTCCATTGGTGGGGAAGAAAAGAGCTCTTTGTTATGATAGAAGTATACATGCTATAAGTAACATGATAAGTTCGGTATTTCTTTCTGGTGGCCCTTCACAACTGAGTGAGGGAGTAAGGGGGGATGGGGTGTGTGTCACAGGTAGCCCGGTTGTCTAGGGAGCCACAATTTGCATCCCTTGGGCTCATCCATCTTCCCGAGGCAAGCATGTCCACTAGCCTATATCAAAGCCTAGTTTCTACCCTTGCCACATCAAGGCTACTCTTCTTGCTTCGACCCTGGTGCCACCTCAAGTAGATCACGAGTTGTGCCTCTTCTAATAAAAACACGATATCCAATCAATTCGCTATTCTTATCTTGTATAGCTTCACAAAGATGGCGACTGCCATAGGCGACGACCAAGTGGATCAGATAAGGGGGTGTTAAAAGATGAAAAAGACATGTCTACAGACAGGCAGCAGTAAATCACTTTCATACGAGATGTACCAGTCGTACGTGGATGTTGATTTTGTGAAACATTCTCTGATTTGACTATCAATATGTGGGACAGACCAATCATATTTAGCACAGGAAAGTGGGCTTGATGTGGCAAGGGGGAAAACAAGACTTTGATAGAAAGGTTAGTGGACGCTCTTGCCACGGGAAGATGGAGCTCACCAGAAAACTATGATGGGTTAGTGGGATTCACCAAAGTGGTAAACGTCTAAGACCTGCATCACTTCAGGCTTTCCTCCCCCATTACGCTGAGATATATGTCATACTGGAATTCTGTTCAAAGCAGTGTTAATCCAAACTCACTCACGATTACTTGATAACTGGTTGATGGTTTGATTAGAATTCGTAACTAGTTAAAGAATGTGCAGACCGGTATTCGTTTTCCAAGTTCAATATTAATAATAATCACTTGCTGTTATGCAAATGAAAACAAGGAGTAATGCAATGACTGTCAGTCAGGATGTAATGTGGAGTGAATTGTTTTGTTTGGACAGTTGTAGCTTTTACTTTAGATGGTTTGTATATTTTGCTATGAAAATGGTTAATCGGATACGAAACAGTTTCTGTAAGACGAGAAACTGGTTCGAGATTTTTCAAACCATGATGTCCCTACTTTCTGGATTCCATAACGTAACTAGTAAAGTTCAACAGATCACCCTCATTATAACAGCCATCACAGATTCCATATTACCGTATTTGATATAATAAGCGCCCAGGGCGCTCTCAAAATTAGAAATAGGCGGCTCTTATTAGAATATAATTTTGGTGAAAGATCGAGTTGAAAGATCGTAAATTTCGTGGTTTATGCTGACAGCCTGAAATGTTTATATACGCGAGATATATTTTTCCAGAATATAATTTCTGATGATTACGGATGCAAATAACACATGTATTATACACAAATAAATAAGTCTTGTGTACATTGATCAATTGGAAGGGGTGCTAATTGGGATTGTTCACTAGCCAATATATTAACAAATATCGCTGTGGTGCTTATTAGAGCGGGGCGCTTATTACGTCAAATACGGTATGCAAAGTCTCTGTGGTGTTTTGGGTTAGAATTGGTCCCCAGATCTGGGTGATTCTGTGTCATCATACCCCTGATGGTGTGGATCATTGCTTACAACACCAATCAATGGATCATCTGGTCTGGATTTGTATATTTACAGGCCACTGTCATATAGCTGGTATATTGCTGAGCGTGGCGTTAAACAACAAACAAACAATTATGCAAAGTTTTTCCTGGAAAATTTGCAAAGTAACAAAGTGTTTTCCTAGTTTGGGGGTGTCAAAATGATCTGAAGCAGTGCAGATGGATGGAGTAACTATGGTAACATTCCTTTAAAAGCTTGTCATCACTGTTATTAGTACATTGTGCATGTTGACTTGTGAGTATTGTAGACTGATGTGTGGTGCTTGTGTCTTCAGTACAAGTGACTTGGGTGCAGCTAGGCTGCTGTTTGCCGGTGGAATGGCGGGGATCGCAAACTGGATGGTGGCCATGCCGCAAGATGTGCTCAAGTCCAGGTTCCAGACAGGTACAGTGTTCTGTCTTCCCCACTCTTGGACTGTGTAGAACCTGGGAGGAGGTGGAGTCTGGTAGTGACAGTGGAGTTCAAGGGTTCAGTGGCTTGAATATGTGAAAACATTGTTAATGTCCCTGTCATGATATTGCTGGAGTATTACTAACATCAACATCAAACCATACAATGATACATACCTAATTAAGGGAATGTCCTTCTACATATGTATCATGATGACAATTATAGGAATGTCCTGCTACAATATGTGCGGGGGCACAGGAGGCCCAGTCATCTAAAACACCGCGATTCGCTGTGCAGAGATGCGTCCCTTGGACATGCCAAAAACCTATGTTTGTGGGTTCGAGTCCCGGTTCGCCCCGATTATGTTTCTAGGTTTGTCAGCACCATGCCTGTGCTTGTGGGTTTCACCGAAGTGGTAAACGTCTGAGACCTGCATCACTTCGGGCTTTCCTCCCACATTAAGCTGACAAGCTGTGATATAACTGGAATAGTGTTAAAAGTGGCGTTAAACACAACTCACTCACTCATTCACTGCTACAGTATGTATCACGATCACAATTATAGGAATGTCACAATACAATATGTATCACGATTACATTTATAGGAATGTCACAATACAATATGTGTCACGATAGGAATGCACAATACAATATGTATCACGATCACAATTATAGGAATGCCACAATACAATATGTATCACGATCATATTTATAGGAATGTCACAATACAATATGTATCACGATTACATTTATAGGAATGTCACAATACAATATGTATCAGGATCACAATTATAGGAATGTCACAATACAATATGTGTCACGATAGGAATGTCACAATACAATATGTATCACGATCACAATTATAGGAATGTCACAATACAATATGTATCACGATTACATTTATAGGAATGTCACAATACAATATGTATCACGATTACATTTATAGGAATGTCACAATACAATATGTATGGTGATATATCTTGCGTAATTTAAAAAATATGCAGCTTATCTGGAGCTCTGTATAAGTGGATCTTTCCATCCTGACTTGACTATTGATCTCCATATAAATATCTGTGAATTTGTGTTGATTGAATTGAGTTTGACTGGCCTGCCTGTCTTGCAGCTCCCCACGGTATGTACAACGGGATCCGGGATGTGTTCCGACACATGGTCAAGGAGGAAGGCGTCCTGGCTCTCTACAAGGGCTTCACCCCCGTCTTGATCAGGGCATTCCCAGCTAATGCTGTAAGTTGGACATTATTGACTTTTGTTAAAAGTTTCACCCCGGTTCCAGGTTAGAATTGGTAGCCAGTAGCTTGTTCTTCGAGGTAACTAAATGGACAAGATGATCAAGCTCAGTTGATTGTGTGTCATTGTTCCCTGAACGTTGCTCATCAGATCAATCACTGGTTTGCCTGGTCCAGTCATGATTATTTGCTGTCATATAGCTGGAATATTGCTGAGTCCGCTTAAACAACAACAGAATTTTGCTAATTTCATCAACTAACAAAAAATTATGATCAAATAAAAAAATGATAACATTCTTGGCATCCTCCTCCCGGGAATGGCTTGACTATTGCTATATCAGGGAAGAACCATATTAATTCACTCACTCTACAGAATTCTCATTGTAGATATTCTACAGTCATTATTCTATATGGAAAGGGAATTGAATCGTTCTGACACAAAAACTCTTCTATTTCAGATGTGTTTCTTTGGTTTTGAGAAGGCGATGCAGTTCCTGAACTATATGTTTTGATGCTGCGGAGAGCTAGAGATGTGTGATGTCCCGTATGCCAGTTCCTCCTCCTCACATCTCAGGGCCCTCATTCTTTGATGTCATGCTCAGAACCTTGTCGCCATGTGTCTGTCACAGACTTCACTGTGCCCTAATCTTCCTGAGGCAAGCGTGTCCGCTAGCCTATATCAAAGCCTAGTTTCTACCCTTGCCACATCAAGGCCACTTTTTAGGCTCGATCCTGGCGCCACCTCGCGTGGATCACAAGTTGTGCCCCTTGTAAGGAAAACACAATCAGATCGCTGTGCTTATCTCGTATAGCTTCACAAAGATGGCGACTACCATCGGCGACGACCTAGTCGATCAGATTACGAAAACGTTTGTGGTTTCATCCCTGACACAAACACATAGGCAATCGTTTGTCATTTGGGGGGGGGGGGGACATATTTGTTTCATCAAAGACAGGCAGTGGTAAATCACTTTCATACGAAGATGTCCCAGTCGTGGATGTTGACATTGTGAAACGTTCTCTGATTGGACAGTTGATATGTGTGATAGTCCAATCATATTTAGCACAGGAAAGTGGGCTTGATGTGGCAAGGGTGGAAACAAGACTTTCTTAAAATGGTTAGTGGATGCTCTTGCCTCAGGAAGATGTTAAGCTATTATCCCTTGATTTCCTCTAACAAACGCCCATACAACACACCTTCCAGTTTACAGGCAATTGTAAATTGACATTTCTGTTGTGTTATGAATATTCAGTTTTTGAACATTTCTTCTCCAGGCAAGTTTTGCCTCACTGTGATATGGTTAGTGTTTAGCATATGGTTATGTTATAGCCTGTCTAGGGGCGGTAGAGTAGCCTAGTGGTTGAAGCGTTTGCTTGCACTCAGAAGATCCAAGTTCAATTCCCCCCATGGGTACAATTGCTGGATTATTGCTTAAGTGTCATAAAACCATACTCACTAGCATGTCTAAAGGGAGGTAAATAATGATTACTATGTCTTGATGGAATGTGGCAGAAGATTTGAATATTTTTTTTCTATTTATTATCTGAAAACACCTAAAGTTCATTTTTTCATTGATAACTGAAGCTGCTTGATCAGCAGAATATTGAAAAGAAACTGTTTGAAATTGTTCTATTAAATATTGATCAACTTAATATTTAAATAACTTCTTTGATAAGCATTTAGAAGTTGGAGTATTAGTAAGGATAGGATTTATGGATAAACAACTTCTTTATTACAATTAAGAGCGACGTTTTGGTGTCGGTTATCACTTGCGTAATAACGGGAGAAGAACCTACACTGAAATGTCACTCTTAATTGTAATAAAGATGTTCATCCATGAACCCTATCTTTAAATGTGGTACCCATTTTGTGAAGTCAAATAGCAAATAGTGTGGGATGGAGAAAAACAGATACCTGTCTACATATTCATGTGCAGTGACAAGTCCAGAATACGTACGGGGTCCAATCCCTTTCTGGAAGATTTGTCTACAAACAGATTGCAGCACCCACTCCCATTCATCTTACAATTCATTTGTGTTTGGTTATGGCTGACAATGTCGTGTGAGTGAGTGCTGATTATCCTTAAAGTGAAGAGAATGGTTCAGTGGTGTATTGCAAGTTGTTACTGATCTCTTTCAGCCTTTTTATTTTTATCAGTTGGTTTACAAAGATTTCGGCCTGAAATTCAATGTGGATGGTCGAAAAAATAATTTCAACTTCCAGATTAGCACTGCTTCTAATGAACGAAAAACAGAAGAGTTTTAACATGGCAAGATACTGAAAGATAATTGATTGGGTTTTTTTTAGAATAAAGATTTTGTACATGTTATTTAGAATTTTTACTCACAGCGGTGATTTTCCCATTTCACGTAATTGTTAAACAGGGTCGGCCAAAATCAATTTGTCAAAAATCATTTTAATATGTTTACAATTTCAGATTCTTTTGGGGTCGGTGGGTCTACTAAATATAATTATAAGGCCCCTTGTTGCATATTATTCACAAATATTCAGCACATTTATTTTACACAGTGTTATCTGTGTGTCGTTTGTATGTTGTATAGTAGGACTGCACTGTAGTATCTGATTTTTGTGTATGGTGGAGAAGTGGATGTGTGAAAGGAATTATACCTGTATCTGTTCAAGCAGTGTTCGACTGTGGAGAGAATTCTTACTGATATATTATCAAGTCCATCCAATAATCCACAGAATAAAATATGTGTACATTTTATTAAACATGAACTTCAGTCAAGCATACAGAAGTTTGATGAAAATAAAGATTTTTACATAACTGATGTGTATTGACCTGTTGTGTTGGAAACTGGTTAGAGAAATATGGTAGCATTAAAGGGCCTGATTCCTTAGTAGAAAAATCTGGCAAGATTCTGACAAATTGTGTCAGATAAAGTTGTTTTTTATTATTAAGGCCCAAAAAGCCAAAGTTTTGTTTCAGGTAACACCCCCCACCACTCCACCACCCCCGAACCATTGTTTCATTTGCTGCCCAAATGTGTTACCACACCTGCAGACAGCTGTCAAGAAACCACTTTTCAGCGTTAGGAATAAAATCAAATGTTTCTGCATGTTATTGTTGCTGTAGCGATTTTGACTTACAAACATTGCAACGACCATCAGTCCGAAATGAGCCATCTGTGTTAAACATCATTATCAAAATAATAAAAAAAATTTTTTTTTAAAACTACCAACACAGATCAGTTACCTGAAACACAAGTATAAATGTTTTTGGCCTTAAGAAACCAAAGTGGCTGCTCTGTACCCCATGTGTATCTGGCAGAGACTGTGATACAGATGCAGGACATCTTGTGAATCTTGTCATGCAGCTTGTTCAGCAGACTCATTCCTGTAATAACTTCCCTTATAGGGAGCGATTCCCACCTAGCATTGGTCCAATGGTCCTATGCTTGTTGTAAGAAGAGTAGGGGGGCACGGGTGGCCCAGTCGTCTAAGGCGTCGCGATTTGCTGTGCAGAGGTGCGTCCTTTGGGCACGCCAGAAGCCTATGATTGTGGGTTCGAATCCCGGTTCCCCCCCGATTATGTTTCTAGGTTTGTCAGTACCATACCCGTGCTAGTGGGTTTCACCGAAGTGGTAAATGTCTGAGACCTGCATCACTTTGGGCTTTCCTCCCACATTAATCTGACATGCCGTGATATAACTGGAATAGTGTTAAAAGCGGTGTTAAACCAAACTCACTCACTCACTGTAAGAAGAGTCTGTACAAATGTGACAGGTAGGGATGTCATGGTATGTTGCTAACGGCAAGCACTGATGTCGAGTGCAGATGTGTTGCTCATGCTTTCAATCACTGGTTTACGTGGTCCAGTCTTGATTATTTAAAGGCTGCAGTGATATAGCTGGAATACTGCTGACTGCTTACTAACCTTCACCCACTGTACTGATTCTGTTCATGTTTTCAGTATAGCCGCATGCTTGTGGACATGTTGTAGTCTAATCTGAAGACTCAGGTGCTAGTTCGTAGCCATCTTTCCGAGGCAAAGGCGTTGACCGACTGTAAAAGTCCAGTTTCCACCCTTGCTGAACTAGGCTGGAATTTCCAGGCTCGGTCGTAGCGCCGCCAGTGTCTATTACGAGTTAAAATCCTTCTATGTCCCTCCTATTGATCAATCAGATTTTTTCACTCATATCACTTGCATTTGCATCAAACAAAAAAGGGGCACCCAGTCAAGACGATCTGATCTATAATCAAGATGTTAATTGTAATAAAAATGGGTCTTACCCCTCGAAGTGCAACAAATCACTTGAGCACCTTGATTAAAAACATGAAAAGATTTGCAAACTATCTATCGACGCCATGCTTTGCAAATCCTGCAGTTGACTGAGATCTGCACGTTGAAATCAATGTTTGCAAACCAAGGGCCTAGTTCATAAGTCCAGCCAAACTAACTCTGGAATGCCAGCCTAGTTCGGCAAGGGTGGAAACTGAACATTTATTGTCAGTTATTGCCCTTGCCTCGGGAAGATGGTTCTTGGCATGTTGCCTGTCATCCATTGTCATAAGCAGCTTATATTCTTTACTTCTACCAAACTACGCTGAAATTTTGTTCAAATAGTCCTGTGTTCATCAACATGTTTGAAAAGATTTGTAATCCTATAAATAGTTTGCAGTTTGACTTGACCCTGATAAATTAAGCTCGACACCATAATAGATATGTTTCTGAAAATGTGTTACAATATTTATGCAGAAATGGAGTGTGTTTCTTTAATAATTTAAATTAAATATTTTCTTGAGAAATGGATTGTATCGGTATCAACTCTACTGGTATATTTGCTAATGAAACCAGGTGAGCTAACATCGAACAAGGTGAGTTCCAGCGCCCTGTGCAATCAACTGGGCCTTGTTCCAGAAAATGATCTTAGCGCTATGGTCATTGTCAGTCTATGTTAAAAGTATTAGAGTTACAATCATCTTAGCGGTAAGATCTCTTTGTGTTTCAATACCTTTCTTATATATGTACCAGTGCCTTTAAATTGTTACTTTTCATGAAACATTAATTTCAGCGAAATTATAATTCATAGCAAAAGTCATCCTCAATTATAAGTATATTGTGTCTCTATTCTATTTTCATTAAAACCTTGGACCCACTTATTATCAAAGTTATAAATATAGCTATCCAATCAAATTACACCAATGTATGTAAAATTAATTTGGAAACTTACTGATAAAGAAGAGCTTCTTTGAGAGGCATTTAGAAGTTGGAGTACTAAGTAAGGATAAGATAGCATCACTTGCTTTATAACGGTGTTAGAACCTACACCGAAACGTCGCTCCTTATTGTAATGACGAGGTTGTTAAACCATATATCTTATCCTTACTTAGATAACAAAGAGGTTGAGATAGTGACGACACCTCCCAAATGAAGCTATGGTAACGAAGGGGTCACGGGTCTTTGTCATAATTGATGGGAGATACAAGGCTAGTAAAAACATATTCTTGTTTCTCTTGACTTTCTTAAATGTATGGGTGGAGAGAGAGTACGTGTATTTTGTCTTTTTAGTTTATCATATTATTAGTAGGTTGTAAATCTATAAGGGGCACGGGTGGCCCAGTCGTCTAAGGCGCCGCGATTCGCTGTGCAGAGTTGCATCCCTCGGGCACGCCAGAAACCTATGATTGTGGGTTCGAATCCCGGTTCTCCCCGATTATGGTTCTAGGTTTGTCAGCACCATACCCGTGCTCGTGGGTTTCACCAAAGTGGTAAACGTCTCAGACCTGCATCACTTCGGGCTTTCCTCCCACATTAATCTGACACGCCGTGATATAACTGGAATATTGTTAAAAGCGGCGTTAAACCCAACTCACTCACTCACTGTAAATCTATAAAAATAAAGTTAATTGTACCACATGACCTCTTTTGGCAATGCCATGCTGAACACTGCTTGGTTTCTTCGCAAATCTGACGAACTTTGAATGGCATGGTGTACGTAAAAAGTGGGATTGTATTAGGTGAGGGAAATTTTATGGACAGCCTAATAACTAGATAATCAAGGATGAATAAGTACTTATATTTTTTTAGCTGAAGTACTTTGTGTATATCTACCTCGACGGCAGTGTACTGTATGCTATTTATTCATATTTTAGGATTGAACACATTAAGTGTCATGTTTTGCTATTCATCAATCTCCATTTTGTTCTGTTAGATATGGATGAGGTCAGAGATAATAACGTTCAGTTTCGATCTGGCCACACGAAGAGACCCAGAGTTGTGTGTATTTGTGTCTATAGCTTGTTCCACTGGTTGTATTTTTGAATATTTTTTAAGGATTCCTTGAAAAAAGGCAACATATATTTATTGAAATAAAATAATTTATACTTGCAAAATATCTCGGTGACATCATGATACCCGTGAAGATCCGGTCTTCAGCAACCCATGCTTGCTGTAAAAGGCGACTATGCTTGTCGGAAGATTTTGGTTGGTTGGTTGGTTTGTTGTTTAAAGCCGCACTCGGCAATATTCCAGCTATATGACGGCGGTCTGTAAATAATCGAGTCTGGACCAGACAATCCAGTGATTGAAAACATAAGCGTCGATCCACGCAATTGGGATCGATGACATGCATCAACCAAGTCAGCGAGCCTGACCACCCGATCCTGTTAGTCGGAAGAGGCAACTTACGGGATTGTGTGGTCAGGCTCGCTGACTTGGTTGATGCCAATTGTGTAGATCGATGCTCATGATGTCTGGTCCAGACTTGATTATTTACAGACCTCCGTCACATAGCTGATATATTGCTGAGTGAGGCTTTAAACAACAACAAAAAATGACATCATGTACAAGGGATGAGGTAATCACCAATTTTTTTTGATATGATACCAGAAAATCGGTTTTGAAGCAAAAATGATAATGCTTGGTGAGAGTTGCAGGAAATAATTTCAAAGATATCCATGCCACAATGGTTAATATGTGGGTAAGGGGGCGGAGTGGGCAAGTGGTCAAGATGCCAGGCTAGGAAGCATGAGGTGCTGAGATCGTATCCCGCTATTGACCGGACCTGTATAGAAACGGGGTAGAATAGGTCTTCAGCTTGTCCTAAGAGGCGACGAAAGGGATCGGGTGGTCATGCTTGCTGACTTGGTTGATGCATGTCATGCTATCCCAACTGCGTGTATCAATGCTCATGATGTCAATCACTGGATTGTCTTGTCCAGACTGGATTATTTACAGACCGCGGTGCAGACAATGAACTGTATCAATGTTTGCAGAACCTCCAGCAAACCAAAATTGCTGACTACCTCACCCCGATGAAGATTGAATGGCATTTTAATCCCCCTCTCAGTCCTCACTTTGGTGGAGCGTGGGAAAGATTAGTGCATTCTGTCAAAGCCGCCTTGAGGTCAGTCCTGAAAAATCTCCGTGTTCGAGAAACTGTTCTTTGAGTTGCCTTGATCGAGGTTGAAGCTGTCTTGAACAGCAGGCCACTGACCTACAACAGTACCAGCCAAAGCGACTTTACGGCACTTACTCCGAATCACTTTATTCTTGGGAGAGCTGCTGTTTGTACTCCACCTGATGTTTTTCATGATAACGAAATCAATAGTAGACGACGGTGGAGACAGGCTCAAGTCATTGCGGATCATGTGTACAAGCGCTGGCAAAAGGAATATTTGCCGGAGCTCACTGTGAGAAGGTGTTGGGGATCAGAATCTCAGAATGTTTCAGTTGGAGATCTCGTTCTGGTGGTCGACGAAGCTAAACCCAGAGGACATTGGGATTTGGCAAGGATCGTCGAGGTTTACGCTGATGTTGATGGACGTGTTCGAGCTTTGAAAGTCCAAACCAAAAATGGTCAGTACATCAGACCAGCGGCTAAGGTGTGTGTGCTGGAGGAATCTGTGTGTAGTGACGCTTAGATGTAGGACTTGCACAAAGTGAACACAGAGCTCAGATTTCCTATGAACATTCATCTAGGTTTATTGATTATCATTTTCTTTACTTGGACATTTAGGTTATTAATGGAAGCAAATGCTTTTGACCCTGTCAGGGGAGTGGCTATGTTAATGACCAGCATTAATTTGATTATTTCTTTTGTGCGGTAGTCCATTATAATTAACTTTTAGTTATCTCCCTTGTGTTGGTTATTATGGAGAGGATTGCATGTCGCCGTTGATTTCGCATGCCAGTCACGAAGAAAAACAAAGTAATGATGGGTAAAACACAATCACAACTCAATCCCAAAGCCCATTTGTGTATTTCTCTTCGATTGCAGCGGATTAAATTATCTCAAGACACTAATACTCTTTGTTCTCTCACGAACAACTGTCATGTAGCTGGAATATTGCTGAGTGCGCGTTAAACAACCAACCATGCTATTGACCGGATTGATACTCAGCCTTGAGACAAACAATGTTTACAGGTCCTTAGTAATGTCACTACCCCTCGTGTACAGTAGTACATACACCCTGTGCATTCAAAAGAACCCACTCATCCGATGGTTGGTGACCAGGGCCCACTTGCACGAAGCGATCTTAGCGCTACAACTATTGTAAGCCTATGTTAAAGTATGGGAGTTAAGATCATCTTAGCGCTAAGATCTCTTTGTGCAAGTGGGTCCAGATGGTGAAAACACGAATACTTTCAAACACCTGAAACACAAGTGTGAAAAAGTATGTCACTCCTGGGCAAGTGACTTTGATCAAGTGTGCCTCTGTTCACCCAACAGGTAATGGATACTTGATATGTGAGTCGGAAAACCTGCTAGCGCCCGTAGGCAGCTTGGGTTGTTTACTCCCCAGGGAGTTGAGAATGATAACTGGAGGGCAAAAATGGAAACGGATCATACATCTTCCCGAGGCAAGAGAGTTAACTAACTTTAAAAGTCCAGTTTCCACCCTTCCCGAACTAGGCTGGAATTCCTGGGCTTGATCGTAGCGCCAGAAGTGGCTATAACAAGTCATATCCCTTTAAAGCCTCTCTCATGGAACAATCAGATTCCAACTCTGAATCACTTGAATTTGCTTCAAACAAAATGGCGGCGCCCAGTCAGGACGATCTGATCGATAACCAAGATCTATATTGTGATAGAACGAGTCTTACATCAAGAAGTGCATCAAATCACATGAGCACCTTGATTAAAAACATGAAAAGATTTATAAAATATCTGTTGACAACGAGTTGGCGGTGCACATGTTGTGCAAATCCTTCAATCGACCGAAATCTGCACAACAGTTTACGAACCGGATTTCGATTTCGATGTGCCATTTTGATTGGACTATGCATAGACTCGTTAGTCCAGCCAAAATGTAACTCCATAATACCAGTTCGGCGAGGGTGGAAACTTGACTTTTATAGTCAGTTAACTCACTTGCGTTGGGAAGATGTTTTTCATACAACATGTACAAGGCGACTACATGGATCATGTGGTCCGACTCGGTAGTTTGGTTAATTACGTGTCATTGTACCCTGTCAGCATCGGAACCTTGCTCATAATATCAATCACTGGTTTGTCAGATCCAGACAACAAATGTGGTCATATCGGACCATCGTAACCCGAACACAGCTTTCTTCTCATCCTATCAACCACTAGTTTGCCAGGCAGACCTCATATCCAGACTGCCAAGATATCACTGGTATATTTCGGACTTCAGCATAACACTCTCATGAAAGTATGGACAGTTAATACTTTCAGAAAACATCTCTCAGATGTGAGGACCGCCTCTGTGGTCCAGTGGTAGAGCGTCCGCCCGAAGAGCGGAAGGTCCGGGGTACGATCCCCGACGGCTCATACCTAAAGACGTTAAAATATGGTACTTGTTGTTACCCTGCCTGGCACTCGGCATTAAGGGGCTAAAACAAGGACTGGTCGGCTCGGAGTCAGTATACTGTGTCTGAGTGGGGTATTCATGTTAAACTGCGGCATGGTATCTGAGTGAGCTAGCACTATAAATCGGCATCAGTCTGGACTAGTACAAGCAGCCACACGCACGCAAGCATGCACGTTGCTATATAAGTGCAATAATCTTGGACGCGACGTTAAACCCCATTTTACCTCACCTTACCTCTCTCAGACGTAATGTGGCCGAGAATGAACAGTATCAACATCTTCTTCATCTCATTCAAAATGGTCTTTCTTGGCAAGATGCTTTCAAATCAAATACAAGCATAAAAAGGCACTCACTCACACACCGGCCCCAATAGTAAAAGGAAAACAAACTTCAGTTGTAAATAATAAGGATTCATTTATTTAAGTGACAGCTTTTGTACACGTTTTATATTCAAATCAATTTTACAAATCATACACTGTATTTAAGATACCACCTTAGATCACTGGCAACTCAAAGTCCCAGTCGTGGCATTACCAGTTAATGCAAGATATATTTGTTTAGCATGGAGATATATATCATTAATGTGTTGGAAAGCCAAGAGACTTGCTGTGTCTACAAAATAAGCAAAAACTACTTTTTGTGTCCAATGTGATTACAAAAGATTAATAAAGAATTATGTGAAAACAATTTTAATAGTAATAATAATAATAATAATAATTAAAGAAGAACTACAGAGACAAAATTAAATTTCCACCATGTCACTAGGCATTGTCAGGTCTGGTTAGACAGAGTCTAATTATGTCTATGTAATTTACGAACAAAACAACTAATTCTCATTTCTGATTGTATTCCAACTACCGTTAACATCCCAGTGACAACCTATCCCCGGGTTTAACCAAATGCACTATCTTTCAAACTGACGGAAGTACTCAACATGCTCAAACATTCGAAGGAAAATCACGAATATTTTTCTGAAGAAGACGGTTTAGTTTCATAATGCCAATTTAATTAGCGCTAAAATTAATCTCCTAATGACAAACAAGGTCACAAACAGCTGCAGACAACAGGTTACCCGTTCAATCTATTCAATGCCACAAAGAGTGATTACACAATATGAAAGAAACTGAAAAATCATCCTAAACTACAAATCAAGCACTTTCAAATCTATGTGTGGAATAAATATATGAATATTAGTAATAATTTGAAAATCAAGATTCATTTGGTATTGTAGAAAAATAAATCTGAACAAAATATAAGGAAAGAGTGCATTTGGTACCGCGATCCATCACTTCGAAGGTGAAACAATTTACTATCACCATGTTCACTACATCTTTGACTTTCCAGTGTATTATATCTCCATTCTATACCACTCAAAAAAGTTAAGGACAACCCGATTAACAACAGTACTATGAAAGAGTCTGGTGATCCTTAACTGTTATAGTAGTATAATATGATACAGATCCTGGACCTATTCCTTGTCAATGTTTCATTTTGTCTCCATCTCTCTTTTCACTGAACAGAGTTTGAAATCTACACCCAGTCTACATGATTCCTCCGACCAAGAGCTTGACATAGATCCACATTTAAATTACAGGCCTCGTAGGAGCATGCTCATATCGTTACTCAAATCAGAAGGTTTCGTGTATGTACTTTTAACAAGACAAAAAAATTTTGAAATATATAAAGTGAGGGCAGAGGTCCTTGTGCTACTAGTTCCAAGTTGTATTTGAGACTTAGCTATCGAGTCGAGTACTGTGGTATTGCCACTTATCTCTAATGAAAAGTCTTCATAATTTGATTGGCCAGCTATTTTTTAGCATCATGTCATTCATTATGGACTCAAAACAAAGCTATGGTGGTGAATAAATCCTGCATACTTATCGGAGTGGAATGGAGATAAATTACCCTGTATTATCGAGGATGATACTGGGCTCAACACAGAACCTTGTTTATCTGATGATGACTTAGCACAAGGTAAAATTACTATGTGGACATCGACAATTCTGAACAGAAATATAAGAAAACCATGATATGACAAAATAGTGTAAATACAGAGCTTGAATCTTTGCAAACGAAAATACTTGAACTGGCCTGTTTTTAAAGAAAAATGAAACTTAAGTCATAATTAATCACAATGAATGTTCACCCACAATTTCTATAGCGTCCTTCACAATATTGGGTTAATGTTGTACCGTATTTGATGCATTAAAGTGCCAGGACGTCGACCGTTCTGAAGCATTGTTTGCAAACAATACCGATAACTGCCAAGCTTACGCTGCGAGAGAAGTTTCTGCTCCATCGACCACACTATGGGTGTAGGCTCATTAGCTGGTCAGGAAGCACTTCTTTCCAGTGAATACCCCATGCTTTCTTAACAACAGGCTTTTACATTGTAATCTACTTTTTGAGTTTCACACGGAAATTTCATGCATGATTAAAAAACACCCAGAACCGTCGATGTTGTGGCCTTTAAGCACCATGATTGAATGAGTACTTTCAACAAGTTTTGAAAACAAAACTCCAAGCCTCCAATTAACATAACACCTAGATATGTTCTTTTATATTAGACGAATAATAATTGATTCAGAAGATTAATCTAGTGAAAACAAAATGGAATGGGAAGTCCTTGATAAGCAATCACACTTGAAAATTTCTTACAGGCCCGGTGCTCTTAATACGTCGAATACGGTAGCCACACACAACAAACTCAACGCCTCGACTTCCATCACGTAACTTTTTACCAATCAGGAACAACCTCATCAAATAAATCAAGGTTTGTAATAATACATTCCTCCTATAACTGTCAATATTGAACTCTAACATGTACTTCAATTTATATTTACGCATATTACGTTCTAGGCCATACTCCCTTCCGTATTCTCAGAGTATGATTAAGCGGGTTTATAGCATTCCCCAGGCACGTTGTTCAGAATACGTCTCTGTCCCACCGATTCTCTGTATTCAAACATAGCCGTTACAATGCATACATATTTACAACACTTGTGACCGTCCATGAAGACATGTCACAAAGACTGCGCTGGCCAAAGGCTAGTTGCATGTTCCTCCATTTCAAAGTGGGACCAGAAGTCCCGTCATCCATTGCATGTTCTGAATCTGAAAACAGAAGTGGGCGAGTTTTAATGCTGCTTTAAACAGAACATCAGTCATATCCCAGCCTGTCAGCTTTATGTTGGAGAAAGTTTTATTCGTTGTTTGACTCAACACTTAGCAATATTCCAGCTTTATGATGGAGTTTTGTTAATAATCGAGTCTGGACCAGACAATCCAGTGATTGATATTGTGAACAGTGATCCACATCATTGGAGTACGATGACATGCAATCAACTATGACACCGAGTCATAATCCACTCAATCTCCTTTTTTTTGGTTTTTTGTTTAACACCACACTCAGCAGTATTCAAGCTATAGGATCGTCTGTAAATAATCGAGGCTTGACCAGACAAACCAGTGACTGACATCATGAGCATCGATCCACGCAATTGGGATCTGATGACGAGCATTTACCCAAGTCAGCGGGTCTGACCACCCGATCCCATTAGTCAGCTCTTACGACAAGTATAGTTGCCTCCTACTGTAAGCATGGGTTGCTGAAGACCCATTCTACCCCTGATCGTCACAGGTCGATCACACTATTAGTACTACGTAGACTAAATACAGTGCAGGGCTTACATGGACATTTTACCAGCACGCTGTGGAGATGTGATGCCTAAAACCTTTTCAAGAATTCTTCTGCACTAAGTCGTGCCCTTGAGTTGACAGCTAGTTTCATTTCATTAATTTCCTTGTCTATTTCCTCCATGAAGTGGATGATGAAGTCCACCAACTTGTGTTTGTACATCTGCTCTGCGTGGAAGTTGGTGATGAGGAAACTGATGTCATAGCCCTGCAACAACACAATATTGTGAAGGAGTATTTCAGAAAGGGACCCTTGAACATGAAAACGAGACAGGAAATCCCAACCTGACACCGATCATAGGCGTTCACTACTTTAGTGAAACCCATGAGCACAGACAGGATCATATCACGGGTTTCTGACGAAAGGGTGGTTATTCAGATCCTGGCACAGCTAAGGGACACAACTCTGCACTGCACTGGGTACACAATTCCACTGGGTCATGAGTTTTGGTCTTTCCTGGGCTGTGCGTCATGCATATTTGTTCTCCAATGTGATTAAACTCAGATCTTAGTTCTTGCTACAGCTAAAGAAAGATCTGAGGACATCCCATTAAGGTTCACGTCAGAACGACCTTTTATCTGACCAATCAGAGCTTTGCTTACCAGATCATGAAAGAGACAGTCAGAATGTCTTTTCTAATCACGCATCCTCGAAAATTTTAACACCGGATATTCCAAACAACAGTTGAGGTGTTTATGACAGAATCCATACAATCTATCTGCCATTTCAGAATGTTCTTTTGTTCAGTTTTCAAATGTTTAATCGAGAATTTGTAAAAATAAGTTTCAAAGCATAGTCGCCATTTTGAAGCTAGGTTAATGTCAACTTTTTGTCAGTCATTCCATTGATCAGACAAAGTTCGTAAAAGGTCGTTGTCCTCAGATCTTTGTTTGGCGGTAGCGAGAACTATAAATCTGATTTTAATGAGATTGATTTGTTCTCAGAAGTCCCTGTGCCTATTTCTCTATTTCCGACAAAGGCATTTTGTGTGTGTGAAGTGAGTTTGTTGTGAACTGCATTACTGTATTTCAGATAGCATGACACAGACCCCACGATGTGGGAAGGTGCATGTCGTGGTTTATGCCACCTCGAGGATAGAGTTTGGTTTTATACCACTTTGTTATTTTATACCACAGTAGCTCAGTCATATCAATGTGTCGCCGATTGGGCAAAGCCAAGTATGCATCTTGCCACTTTGGTGATCAAGGATCAAACGTAATAAGGTGAAAATGGGATTCAAACACATGACCAATGAATCCTTGCATGGCAAAGGGAAATAACTGCACAGCAAAGTGCACCTTAGTCATAAAATGTATATGGGTGAATTAGGTTTGAGGCTGCTTTTACCAATATTTCGTGCAATATCATGGCATGTGGGACTTCAAAAATGGACTCACACCTTACCATTTAAAAAACCAACCTGGGTCTTTGCATAGCAAATGAAAGCCTAAACTATTACCCGATAGGCTATGACACCGCCTCTACCAGCAACAACAATTTGATGCTACAAAAAGACGTTAGCATCATCTCAAATACATCACTGCAATGTCACAAGTACAACATATATATACACAGACACACACTCAGGCACAGACACACTGCCCCAAGTACAACACACACACACACACACAGACACACACGCACAGACACACTGCCCCAAGTACAACACACACACATACACACACACGCACAGACACACTGCCCCAAGTACAACACACACGCAGATACACGCAGATACACACACACACACACGCACAGACACACTGCCCCAAGTACAACACACACACACACACACAGACACACTGCCCCAAGTACAACACACACGCAGATACTCACACACACACTGGTACACACACAAGACACAGACACACTGCCCCAAGTACAACACACACACACACACACACACACACACACACACGCACAGACACACTGCCCCAAGTACAACACACACGCAGATACACACACACACGCACAGACACACTGCCCCAAGTACAACACACACGCAGATACTCACACACACACTGGTACACACACAAGACACAGACACACTGCCCCAAGTACAACACACACGCACAGGTACACACACACACACACACAGACACACTGCCCCAAGTACCACACACACACACACACACACGCACAGACACACTGCCCCAAGTACAACACACACACACACATGCACAGACACACTGCCCCAAGTACAACACACACGCAGGTACACACACGCACAGGTACACACACAAGACACAGACACACTGCCCCAAGTACAACACACACACACACACACACACACACACACACACACACACACACACACACACACACACACACACACACACACACACACACACACACACACACACACACACACACTGCCCCAAGTACAACACACACATCCCTTGTTGGTCAGTCTTCACTTACTTCTACTGGTTTTCTCCTGAGGATAATAAAGTTTTCTGCTCTCATCATCATAAACCTCATGAACTTGTGACACAAGATTTTCTCAATTTCATCAGCCTGCAATACAAAAGCAGCATAAGTAGACAAACCCATACCAGCAGGGATAACAATTCATGCACAGATTAACAGAAACAACCATACCTACCACATATACATGATAAACATCACCATAACAATGGTCACAACAGATGGCTGTCCACAATGCTTCAAGATGTGACTTCAGTGAGTAGTGAAATGGGTTTACTGCCGCTTTTAACATTATTCCAGTTATCATGGTTATATCGCGGTGTGTCAGCTTAATGGGGGAGGAAAGCCCAAAGTGATGCAGGTCTCAGACGTTGACCACTTCTGTGAAATCCATGCGCATGGGTATGGTGCTGACAAACCTAGAAACATAATTGGGGCGTACCGGGATTCGAACCACAATCATAGGTTTCTGGTGTGCCCTAGGGACGCAACTCTGCACAGCGAATTGCGGCGCCTTAGACAACTGGGCCACCCGTGTCCCCACTTCAGTGAGTAAACATAGCTGCAAGATGCATCAACAATCTTGCAGCAAGTGGCCAGTGAACATGGTGAAAGAAACACTTGATCAATACACTGCACATGGACAATCTCATGAAAATTAGATCGTAGAGATTGCTAGCGTTAACCTGGGTAGCTCAAGCAAGCACTAAGATCTAATGATAAGAAGATCGACTGCAGAACTGATCCTCTCAACCTGATCTTGCTGCTGATGTGAATGGTGATAATGCTTTTTTTAAAATTCTTAGTTATACAGATATTTCAAATGTTCAGTAACATAACCCTGTTGGGATTCTGGGTTAGAAGTTGTCCCCAGCAACCAATACCATGTATACTGGTCGTTAGAGGCAACCAAATGGATCGGGTCATCATGGTTGGTACAACATGGATCGTTGGTACAACATCAATCACTGGAATGTCTGGTCAAGACTTGATTGTTTACAAGCTGCCGTCATATATCTTGAATACTGCTGAGTGTGGTTCGTTTGTTTGTTTGTTGTTTAACGCCGCACTCAGCAATATTCAGCTATATGACGGCGGTCTGTAAATAATCGAGTCTGGACCAGACAATACAGTGATTGACATCATGAGCATCGATTCACGCAATTGGGATCAATGACATGCATCAACCAAGTTAGCAAGCCTGACTACCTGATCCTGTTAGTCCCCTTTTACGACAAGCATAGTCGCCTTTTACGGCAAGTATGGGTTGCTGAAGACCTATTCTACCCCGGACCTTCACGGGTCGCTGAGTTTGGTGCTAACCAACAAACACATGACATGACGTGATAACTGCCACAATTGTAGCCCATACAACTCAATCATTCAGTCAAATTGTCCTCACCTGTTTCACTGCTATACTAACTCGTAGTGAGTTAATGGACCCCTCTATTAAAACTCGTTCCCTTTCATTCCTGCTAATAACTACAGGTACTAAGAGCAACTCTTTACTGCTTCTGGAAAAGAAAATCAAGATTTGGTTTAGATTAATAAATCACATCCACAGTGCTGTGAATATATGTAACAGCTGGAAACACAAGGAAGTCTATTATCGTGTCTATAAACATATTGGTTTTTATAGTCCACGTCTCAACATGCTCACAGCTTCTAATAATATCAGCATGATCAGCAATGATTCAGTTTCTTTATCTTTCATGAAGAGTTAGATTTTAAGTAATCTGATGACACTGATACTAAATAAATAAAATCACAATAAAACCTGACAAATATACAATCTGTGAAAAAATTATTCCTTTAACATGTTTAAGAGTTAAACTTTAACCAGTTAACAGTAATACTGTATTTGACGTAATAAGCGCCCCGCTCTAATAAACGCTCACGGCGATATTTGCTAATATATTGGCTAATGAACAATCCCAATTAGCACCCCTTCCAATTGATTAATGTACACAAGACTTATTTATATGCACACTTAATTATGGGAAATTACATTCGGGAAAAATATATGTGTCGTACATAAACATTTCAGGCTGTCAGCATAAACCACGAAATTAATCTTTCAACTCAACTTTTACTCACCAAAATAATATTCTAATTTTGAGAGCGCCCTGGGCGCTTATTACGTCGAATACGGTAACCATTTTATTCACTTTTTCCATCTGCCCCCAAGGGGATTCCGGGGTAGACTATGTCCCAAGCAAATCATGGCGGCAGCAAAAGGTGCCTGAATGAATCTGCTGGTCCGACTTGGTTACTTGGTTGAGGGTTTGTAATCGCACCCCCTCAAATCAGTAATCCACTAATTTGTCTAATCCAGATTTAATTATTAGAGGCTGCTGACATACAGTTGTACTCTTGCTGAATGCAGCATTAAACAACAAATGCTTCCACCTCAACCTGTTCCACAAAGTGATGTTAGTGCTACAGTTGTCCTAAGGCTAGTATGAGAGTTACGATCATCTTAGCGCTAAGATCGCTTTGTGGAACAGGGTCCTGAAACAAAAGTAAGCATCAGGTTTATATTTATTTTTTGTTTATACTTACTTTACTTCAACTTCGGGTTTATTATGTCGTTCCACTATTTGTGAATCAAAGTTCTGCAGGCACATTGCAGCGGTAAGCGTATGCTTAACCGCTGTAAGATATGGCTTCAATGTCGCTGCCTGGAAAGAATACCATACAGATGTCAATACTATAACTTAAGTCAACAACTGTCATTGAAATGCAACATTCATATTTCCTCAGGGTTTGATACAAACTATTGCATCTAACATGTCTAATACACATACAATTACAAATGATGGACACAAATATTTTACATTGAGGGTCCTGTGGGACGCTCAACAGTTGGGCTGTTTAAAACATTAAATGTAACAAAATTGTAGATTGTTCTTACATGTTGTATACATGATATAACCAACTTTTCTATTCTGATAAGGAATACAATCAATGTCGAGGGTATCAATGGCTGTTTTCCTTAATCTAAAATTGAAACCCTCATCTTTATTAGGCTTCAGGCTTCTGAGCATGTGCACTAAAATTATTGGAAATGAAATGAAGCATGGCACATGTCACCTCCAGGGTCCCCCATGTTCAATAATTAGGACCCACCAAATTTATTACTGGGAGTTCCCAGGGCTCGAAAATAAACAGTGAGTGAGTGAGTGAGTATGGTTTTACGCCGCTTTGAGCAATATTCCAGCAATATCACGGCGGGGGACACCAGAAATGGGCTTCACACATTGTACCCATGTCGGGAATCGAACCTGGGTCTTCGGCGTGACGAGCGAACGCTTTAACCACTAGGCTACCTGACCGCCCCCGAAAATAAACAGACCCAGTTAAATCCCTATTTTTTGTGTGCACAAATAATAAGTATGATAAGAGGAAGTATTTTTTCACATGTTTAAGCCACTTTTGAACAATGTTGCAGTTGTGGTGAGTGAACTCTCACCACTAGGTTACCATGGTCACCCCAACCAAAATCAGGTAATAAATAATAAGTGTCCTTATTTACCATGTTTCCCTTTATAAACTACAATTTCTAAATAGGTTTGTCATATGAAGTCATTTTAAATAGTTGCAATGTTATACATGTACAACAGGCTAATTCATTGTCAAATCAATTTCAAATTATCAAGGATTAAACAATTTCACATGGCCCTCCAAAACACTACAACATGGCTTCATAATACTAAAAATAGCGGTTATCACATTTATCACCTGAATGACCCTAGTCTTCTTTTGAAAACAATGTATCTGCTGAATGTCAACTACAAGAACAAGTTTATTGATAGCACAACAAAGTTGTAAACATGTAAAGTTAAAGGGACTTTAATCATGTTAATACATAAATATGCAGACATTAAATAAATGACTGCTGTATACATGGTATACGTGACCAAGATGGATATATAAATAATTCAGGTCCCAAATGACTTTTTTTAACTATGTATAAAAGATCTGATAAAATTAGCTCCCTAAATTGGCCTTTAAAGTACCTATAGATTTATTAATTTTATGTTCTCATTCTTGAGGCTGGTTTTGTCTTCAGCGTTGGACCCTCCATGGCTCTTGGCTACAAGTTTTCCAGTATAAATATCACTGTCATTAATACAATCTCAAAATTGTTACTCATATAAAAATAAGGCCCTGAATAAGCTGAAAGCATGTTTCAATCCATGGTTGAACAGCATTTCTAACTTAAACATGTGAGTGAGTTGGGTTTAACACCACTTTTAACAGTATTCCAGTTATATCACGGTGTGTCAGCTTAATCATGTTAATGTGGGAGGAAAGCCCGAAGTAATGCAGGTCTCAGATGTTTACCACTTCGGTGAAACCCACAAGCACGGTGCTGACAAACAAACCTAGAAATATAATCGGGGCGAACCGGGATTCGAACCACAATCATAGGTTTCTAGCGTGCCCAAGGGACGCAGCTCTGCACAGCGAATCGCGGCGCCTTAGACGAATGGGCCACCCTCCCCCCCCCCACACCTTAATCATGTGAAAGCTACATACAATCACTGATCCGCGTATCATCTGTTATCTAAGGTCAGGTTTAAATAAATTTTCAAATTCCTTCCTTAACAAATTTTCCACGTTGATGGCATGTTGTTAATGTAATATAATTAATATTTGTATTATTTTAAAGCCTAATAGTAACAGTAAGTCAAACGATGAGCTGAAGGGGCACAGACACAAAATCTGTCACTAATGACAGCACCAGCCTCGGGCTGCACCTTGCATTGAATACATACAACGAGGAAGGAAGTAAAATTGCTCATTTCGCCATCAGTGAATGGACGTACATTGCCGGCCTACGAAACAACCGCCGGCCTCACAGAAAGATTAGAAACAAAGTAACCATTACGTTAAAGTGGCTGAAATCAATACTTTACTAGAGTTAATGCACAAAACAACAGCAGGATTAGCTGTTAATTCTCTACAGGTGCAGAGTTCATGAGTCAGAGTTACTCAAGTTCGCTCCTTTCCAGTTGCACTTCCGGATTTCGGACGATCTTTACTTCTATCGAAAAGGCAAAAAAGTAATAATTGACAATATTTCCTAAAAACTGACGATTCCATGAATACACTGTGGTGTCAAAATGAGTTACCAAACACAATTGTCGAGCCTGAATGTCAAATAAGATTAAACAAAATTAGACGAATACACCCACCATAGTCGACTGAACAAACCGGAAGTGTGTGACCTGCCGGTGACTGAGCGCCCTCTGGTTAGAATAGAGTTATCGCCCCAAAGTCTCTATCGATGGAGGGCTCTTTCCCATCACATGGAGGATGTCCCGGAACCTCTCGATATTACTCTTTTATGACATAGATATTGAACATACCGTTGATACAGAGTATACACACTAGCTGATCATCAATACTCAATCAAGTAACATAAGTTTATACGTTTTAAAAACAGAGAAAAACAATATTATGTACAAATCTTAAGTTTCAAATGAGTAAACCTCAATATTGATTTGTTGCTTGTAAGTCTATCAACGCTGGGTAGAGATCTATATTAAAAAGGATATGTAATTTCGATTTGCTCACATAACTGACAAATTTCGCAAATTGTGCTCTGAACCAGAAAGTTTTTCCAAGACATGGGGAATGCAAATTTGCACCATGACCCATATCGTCAGCATATCAACTGCTGAGATATGTTAAATGTACATTCTTACACTGAAAGGTCACCCAGGGGCACACCCACTCAATATCCATTCCATATTCTTTGATCTCAGACAAAAAGCAATACAAAGTACATCTAAAGACAAAAGAGGTCTCTGGAATACTAATACTGTGACTCTCTCGGACCGCCTCTGTCAACGAGCGGATAGAGAGTCTGTCAGAAGAGCGGAAGGTCTGTAGTTCGATCCCCGGCCGCGTCATACCAAAAGACGCCATAAAAAAAGTTAATAATTGTTACCCTGTATGGCCCCAACATTAAGGGGATAAAACGAGGACTGCAGGAATGATCGTCTCAGAGTCAGCATATTGTGTCTGAGTGGGGCATACATGTAAGCTGCGGCATGGTATAGTCTGACCAAAATTATTGAGAATTTTTCAAATCATTTTGACCATCAATATTCACCATATGAAAGGTGTGTACACGTATAGAACCAATGCTTTCATTGATTCAAGGGAGACAAATTCGCGTATCATATTTGTAAAGTGTGACCAGAGTTGTCTCCCTTGGTAAACAAGTTAGCAAGCTCCTTCCCAGCGTCATGTCCGCTAGCTATGAGAGTGTAACGAAGGTGTCAGACCTTTGTTACACTCTTAGAGCTAGCGGACAACGTCAAAAGGAACACACATCATCCAGGTGAACTAATATGGTTTTACGCCGCGTTTAGCAATGTTCCAGCAATATCGCTGGGGACACCAGAAATAAGCTTCACACATTGTACCCATGTAGGGAATCAAACCTTGGCCTTCTAGCGAATGCTTTAACCACTAGGCTACCCTAATGCCGCCACACACACCCCAGAAGCGACTAGGTAAAGCAAGCTTTGATCTCAGGTTTGTCAATATGTACCTCCAATAAGTGCATGCAGTATATTAGACCACACATTATTTTTTGGTTTTCAGTTTTTTGCTCACCACCTGGCGTTACTCGAAAAAAAGTAATAATTAGGAATTGACTTTAATAATTTTGTTTTTATGGGGAAATAAACTTAAAAATAGGCGTATACACTTTAAATTGTAAATGATACCATGGCATTAAATTGGGTAACCAAGCAACATTGTTGCGTTCATGTTATCAATAAACCGAAAAGGGACAACGCCCACGAGTGGACTATGTTGTTTCCTGTTGGCCGGGCTTGTGCGTCCATTTTGCCTTGAATATTCTCATTGATTTTGTATTGTTGTCGTGGGTTTGAATACCGGTTCGCCCGATTATTCTTTTCAGGTTTTTGTCATCACCATACCCATGCTCATGGGTTTCACCAAAGTGGGGTTAGTCTGTGAACCCGGCATCACTTGGGTTACGCCGACACACCGTAATATAACAGTTACTGGAATAGTACTCAATCACTCCCCCCCCCCCCCCCTCCTCCCACTCTCCTAGTCGCCCCTCACTAACTCACTCTCTTCTCCCACTCACTCCCCCCTCCTCTCCCACTCACTCACTCCCCCCTCTCCTCGTCGCCCCTCACTAACTCACCCCCCTCCTCTCCGACTCACTCACTCACTCGCCCCCCTCCTCTCCCGTTCACTCACTCACCCCCTCCTCTCCCACTCACTCACTAACTCACCCCTCCTCTCCCACTCACTCACTCACTCACCCCCTCCTCTCCCGTTCACTCACTCACTCCCCTCCTCTCCCACTCACTCACTCACCCCCTCCTCTCCCGTTCACTGACTGACCCCCTCCTATCCCACTCACTCATTCACTCGCCCCCCTCCTCTCCCGTTCACTCACTCACTCCCCTCCTCTCCCACTCTCCTCGTAGCCCCTCAATAACTCACCTCCTCCTCTACTACCCACTCACTCTTCTCGTCCACTAATTTACGACCCTCGACGATGATAGACCCGGATGTTTTAATGGGTGTGGTCAGCAGACGAATTTGTATTTTGTCCATGTACGCCCCATGGTCGCAAATCTATGAACTGGTTGAACATATACTCCCCTTTATTTCATTATGTAAACACGGGATATCACCCAATAATACAGTCGACTACCCCTTTTCCCCGCTATAACGCAACAACGAAGTGATAACACGCTTCTACAGTCATTATCAGCTGTTGCGATGAATATAGACAAATGAAGTTTATGTGATAAATCACTTCCCACAGCTGCCACGTGGTGTAAACACATTCAATATTATTGATTACATCCAGCATAACAGCTACAAAACGCGTTTGGTCTTTGGGAAGCCTTGATAACGGGGCGCTTCCCTCTTCCGTTCTACGCTGTTATCACGTGATCCGACCTCGAGGAGGAAAAAATATATATAGAAATGTGTGCTTGGGTTCCAGTTAAATTTTGATTGACATTTGTCACGTACATTATATATGACATTTGTGTATACACTAGCGAGCGAGGAGTATTCAGTGTTTCGTATATGAATTCATTCATATGCAAATTCATTTTAGCGCGGTTACATCTACAGGTAACCTAGCTCGCTCAACATTGAAAACAGTATTTTTATCTCCTAATTCGGTACCGGGAAATTCCGTGTTTCAAATGTTAGAGTTAAATATGCTGCCGTAAAGAGCTTTTCATGTTTGTTAAATCAGAGGATCACCTTAAGCTGTACCGATAAATATAAGTGAATTTTGAAAAGAACCGTTGTAATCTCGTAGTTCTACACATAGTGTTTCAATGACCATGTCTAGGCTGCACGTGTTCAGTTTGAAACAAAGGCACAATATGTTTTGATTGTTTGTTTGTTGTTTAACTCAGCAATATTCCTTGTATATATAACGACGGTCTGTAAATAATCAAGTCTGGACCAGACAATCCAGTGACTGACACCATGAGCATCTATCCACGCAATTGGGATACGATGACATGCATCAACCAAGTCAGCGAGCCTGACCACCCGCTCTAGTTAGTCGCCTCTTACGGCAAGCATAGTCGCTTTTTACGGCAAGAATGAGTTGCTGAAGACCTATTCTCACCTGGATCTTCACGGGCCAGGTACAAAATGTACTGCCGTATCCTGATAATATGCTATAACCATTAAACCAACCGCTAATTATATGGCATCGTAAACACGACCACCTGCATGGCTGTTTGGTGCGATGTACCCATTAACACCGTGTCACCACTAAAATTTAAACGATTAACTTGCTTGTCACGCAGGAAGCCTGTATACAATTATAATAGGTCCTGTTGTCTACACTAATTCAAAGTACATTTAAAGCGGCGTAAAACCTTATTCATTTAAGCTGGTTACACAGAACCTAAATCTGTTTGAAACCATGCGTGCGATAGAACAGGGGTTAATGTAAATGTTCTGGGGTTAACGCCGTTTTCGAGAGTAATTCATGTGGTGCTTTAGGGTGCGGCCGATATTTAGGGTCTGTCACAACCTTGCTTGTGCGGCCGTACACTTACATACTATCACAGCCGGGATAATGTTGGTCGCCAGCCACACCCCAATGCCGTTATGTCCATTCAATCCTCACATCATAGTCGCCAATGGAGTAAGCAAAATACAAACGGGGAGTGTTTTGTTTTGTTTGTTGTTTAACGCCACACTCAGCAATATTCAAGCTATATGACGACGGTCTGTAAATAATCGAGTTTGGACTAGATAATCCAGTGATTGTTGTCATACGCATCGATTGACGCAATTGCAGGGATATACGATGACATGCATCAACCAAGTCAGCGAGCCTGACCACCCGATCCCGTTAGTTGCCTTTTACGGCAAGCATAGTCGCCTTTTACGACAAGCATAGTCGCCTTTTACGGCAAGCACAGTCGCCTTATACGACAAGCAAAGTCGCCTTTTACGACAAGCATAGTCGCCTTTAACGGCAAGCATGGGTTGACCAATTCTAACCCGAGTACAAATGTGGTGTTTCAGTTAAATACGGTTATAACGAACACGCTTATAACGAACTGACGGATATAACGAACTTACTTTTCTGGTCCCGACTATTTGCTGTAGTTATGCTGTATATATGCTTATAACGAACTACGGTTATAACGAAGTAAAATAAGTGGTCCCTTTGAGTTCGTTATAACCGTAGTTTACTGTACTTTGTTGAAATTGTATCCGCTGGAGTTCCGGCAAAGTATATATTGTTTTCAGTGAGTGAGTATTGTTTTACGCCGCATTAGCAATATTCCAGCAATATCATGGCGGGGGGGGGGGGGGGGGGGGACACCAGAAATGGGTTTGACATTAACATTAAAGCCTCGGTACAAAGAATGTTATTCGCACAGTCTCTCCAGTGTTAATTCCCTGATCTTCCCTAATCCAACGGAAATGCTGTTGATGTCCCTCAACTTGAGATCGCTTGAACGGTTTCAGTTTCAGAAACCATATTACAAAAGCTTTACATTAGGGGAGTTGAGGTGAACTGATACCATGCAGCAGTATAACATGAATATTCCACTCAGACACAGTATACTGACTCCGAGTGGACCAGTCCTTGTCTTAGCCCCTTAAGGCCGAGCGCCAGACAGGGTAACAAAAAGTACCATCTTTTAACGTCTTTTTGTATCATTACACATTAAAACGTTCATTGACTGAACAAGGTCTAATAT